CAGGTTTAGGTACCTATTGACAATTCAGTTCAGTTTACGACGGGCGACGGTGAGAAACGTCCAACCGACGTCACGTGTACACGGTGTATATTTATAATTCCCTCTCTTTCTGCTGAGCTGTGGCCTGTGACACTTACGGTGTGTGGTGTATTCCTGTTCACGATTCCATTGGAAATTGGAAGAAAAATGGCATACAAACTGTTATTATTAGAATGGCGCCTTGATTTTAATTGATATAAAACTATTAAGTTGCCAGAATAACTAAATTATATTTCAAACGTTACTAAATCACTTTTGATAGTAACTAGATTCCATTTCAGTCACAATTAAATATTTAATTCGCAACAACACACTCACTATTAACGTCAGAAGAAATGAGTAATTGCCCCAACTGGGATAATTTGTTGTGATAACAAACATATATTGAAACAGTACTAACAATCTAATTGTCATAACTATGTATCTTGATTGGGGAAAATAAAACTTGGTATTATTCCTCAAAAAGGCTTATTAGTTACCACAACAACGTCGTAGATGACTCAACTAAACTTTTCATTAGAGGCAAATAGGCGTTTCCAGAAAAACAGAATTAGTTATGGCAACAACTAATGCTTGCTGTCCCCTATCGTACTAAATTTTTTTTCTGTAGTTACTAATTTTTTAGTAACGGCTACAAATTTTTTTCCTCAGTCGAGAAGAAGGCGCCACGATATCCTAGCGTATTAGATAATAATATGCTCGCATCTCATGTATGATTTGATCGGTATCACTGAACGCGAGCGGGATGAGCGATTAATTCAAATCAGCCAACCACGGCTCTGGGTTTTTCGTTCTTGGAAACCAGGTGTTATAATTTTGATTTTTTTCTGGTGATATTTGTTGGAGAATATGGAAATTGGAAGCACATTCACATAGCAACTTATTGTTTCCTGCTACACGATGACAACTTCATATTCATCATGCAATTATCGTTGATGAAATGCAATATGGCGGCCCATCATTCGGAAAAATAGAGTTGAAGATAGTTGGCGTGAAGTCGATACATTGGATACTTGATTTTGAAATATCAGTGTATAGCAGGAAACTATTGAATGTAATTAATGAGCTATTACTTTTAATATTCTTCAATAAATAACGCAAGAAAAAAAATCTGTTCACCTTGTATGTCTACGAAAATACTCGAAATATGAGAATTTTCTTGACGGCATGATATGTTGAATCGCATAAATGCGCAACTTTCTCCTGATTCTATCATCTTCCTACCTAATATAGTTTCCGAAGATCGCAATGTGGCCCTCGATTTCGCATTACCCATTATACAGATCATTTTTATCGTTCAAATTATGAATTGACTCGGCCATAACTTGATGGAAATCCATGGCAAATGTAAAAACTTTACAAATGATAAGATTCCCACAAAATTCTCAAACACAACATGTTTCGCTAACGCAGTAGCTTCGTCAGGTGATATACTGGTACAATGAACTAAACTGACGTTGGCTTGCTTGACTTTTATACATCCTACTTTCCCAACCTGGAGGATTGGTTACCTGTGGACAGGTACGATAAACCTCTATTTCCGGAAATTAGGCACAATATCTACATTAAAATACGGTATACTGGATTAACTTGAAAGAGTTGATAGCGAATACATTACATTACTTACTAAGAAAACAAATTCAACCGTGGTGAACTATTGAGGCCTAATTGATCATTAAGTGAAATGACGAAATTTTTGAGTTTGTTGGTTTCTGGAAATTATATATACCTGAGGACAAGATCCACAGTTGAGTCTGTATACCCCTGATTTTTAGAATTTACACGTTTTGTCTTCATTATTCTTGATGCACCGTCCCAACGTGTTAGAATTGACAATAAGTAAAATTAACGATAAACATGATTTTTCAATTTTTCATCAAACTTTCCACACTGATATCATTATTCATAATATTTCAACACACCGTTATCAACATAAAATTGCAGCATATAATAGTATGATACACAGGCTTGTGAATGTCCCTCTTTCGGAAGTAAATTTCAATGAAAAACTCAATATCATAAAACAGTTTGCAGTCAACAACTCAAAAAATTGAGTTTGTTGATTTCTGATGATTCGAAATGATTGAGTTTCAGTCCATTATTTTTCAAGTTGATCTGTATAATGGGTTATGCGAAATCGAGGGCCACATATTGGGATCCCGGAAAATATAGAAGTTAGGAAGATGATAAAATCAGGGCAAAGTTGCGCATTTATGAGACTAAAGATATCATGTCGTGGATTGAATTCTCATATTTCGAGTATTTCCGGAGATATACGAAGAAAACAGATTACATTTCTTGCGTTATTTGTTGGAAAATATTGAAAGTTATTCAAGAAGTTCATCCTACTATCAAGAATGATAATCAATATTATAGAACTTTAACCTATGTTGGATCATCAACTGAGAAATTAGCTTCATTTTTAAATAAACAGGACTTAAAAGTGGCATATGGAACAAATAACACGTTGGGACGGTTTATCAAGAATAATAAAAAAAAAACTTCTAAATTCGAAATATCAGAGGTATACAAACTCAACTGTGGATCTTGTCCTAAGGTATATATCGGCCAGACAGGTCGTACGTTTGATCAGCGCATTCATGAAAATAAGATGAATTTTTTGAAAAAGAAAACAAATCCAACATACGCCAACCAAATATTAGATAAAAACAATAGTTCTGATGATAATCTCGAGATTATACACTTGAAAAATAATGGACTGAAACTCAATCATTTCGAATCATCAGAAATCAACAAACTAAATTTTTTTTACATTTCACTTAATTATGATCAATTAGACCTCAATAGTTCACCACTGTTGAGTTTGTGAGTGAGTAATAATATGTATTTGCTATCAACTCTTTCGAGTTAATCCGGTATACAGTATATTTTACTGTAGATATTGTGCCTAATTTCCTAAAATGAAGGTTTATCGTACCTGTCCACAGGTAACTAATCCTCCAGGGTGGGAAAGTAGGTAGTATACAGGGTGTCCGCTAAAAGGAGGTCAATCCATTACCAATATATTCCTTGAACAAAAACAATATGGGTTTCTAAATACCATTTTCCATTGTAGCCTTTCATATTCGATATACCTACAGGGTTGTCAAAGTTGGGAATTGAAAACTGTTTTTTTTTTCAATTACTCGCGTATTTAATAAGATATTGATCCCAAAATTGATACATCACTTCATCACAAAGAGTCACATTGTGTGAGGAAAACAAAACAAAAAATAACTGTCAAATATTAATGTTTGATGCCTATGCGGCTTACGGCATCTCATAATGTTCACAAATTTGCTGTTCTGGAAAAAAATCAATTTAATAATTCTTCAAATAGGTGGGCTCGTAAATCCACCTCTTCATCCTCCTTAAATCATTATTTTCCCGAAATTATTTTATTAAATTGATCAAAAAGGCTCGCATGTGTATTCAATATATTGGAGGTTATATCGAGTAACTTTTTTTTTAGACGTGTTGAATTTCTATCAGTTTTTACAGTTTTATACATTCGCTTTGAGCACCCGGTATTTCCATATTTACCTTTTCGTACGTAAAAAGTTACGCCCTCGTCCAATTTCGACGAAATAAAGAGGAGTATGTGAACATTATGAGATTACCGTAAAGGTATGTTCATGCTTGTACGAATTCCGCAAAATTTATGCGAATAATATGGCGACTGCGAATATCGCAATGAAGTTGAAATATTTGAACTTTTTTGCGAATTCGGATGGAATCATAACCACATAAAATGTATTGTTATTTTGATAACATCAAAATTGGGGAATTAGAGAGCGGACTGCAGAGGTCGAAAAAAGACGAGACTAGACTCTAGACTACAGGTAAGTACAGAATTATAATTGAAAATTTCATCATTTCTTCATTTGATTAAATTTTCTTCGCAGGATTGATTCTCTGGACGAATTAATTTCAAAGTATCATCTGTATCGTCTCTATAGAACTAATGATGTATCCAGAAGCATAAAAAGGAACTGTACTGTTCGAAGCATTTTTAAATGCCGAAAAATGAATGGAGATTAGTACAGACTCGTTCGATAAATGCGACTGAATGACCCTAATACATATATTTACTTTCGTATAACGTGCCTTCAATTTGATGAACTTCTATCAATGGTGGGACCAGAAAAGGAAGAAATTAATATCACAACAGAACCCTTAACTCCTGCATATTTTGTCGCATGAGTATGAACGTCAAATTCTGTCGGAAATTTCATATTTTGCGATTCGCATAAATTTTGCGGAATTCGTACAAGCATGAACATACCTTAAGCCGCATTGGCATCAAACGATAACCAGAACTAAAAACAAATAATTTAATCGAAATTTTACAGGTGACAAGAAATACTCAAAAATGATTTAACACTTGAAGAAAAATAGATAGGAAGCCATTAGCGCACGTAAAAAAAGGGGGTAAGTGTGTACTTGACCCCCAGTATTCTGAATAGTTGACAGTTATTATCTGTTTTGTTTTCCTCACACGATGTAACTTTTTGTGCTGAAGTAATGTACCAATTCTGAGATTGATATCTTATTAAATACGCGAGTAATTAAAGAAAACATTTTTTAATTTCCAACTTTGACACCCTGTATATCGAATATGAAGGGCTACAATGAAAAATGGTATCTAGAAACTCATATTGTTTTTGTTCAAGGAATATATGGTTAATGGATTGACCTCCTTTTAGCGGACACCCTGTATAAAAGTCAAGCAAGCCAACGTTAGTTTAGTTCATTGTACCAGTATATCACCTGACGAAGCTACTGTGTTAGCGAAACATGTCGTGTGTTTGAGAATTTTGTGGAAATCTTATCGTTTGTGAAGTTTTTAAACTTCATCCTTGTCACAATGAAAATTTCTATTAGCCATGAGAGTAAACTTTTCATTCGACTACGGAAATGTTCAATGTAGAGCTTTCTCACCTAGACATATGTATACGAACATGATGCAGAGACACAGCAAGATGGGCGCCAGAATGGACCATCCGTGCATGGAGGACTTGGACTCGTTGTCGGTGCCGCTCGAGGAGTCCAACTCCTTGGCTGCCATGTCTCGACAGGGCGAGTGGAGGCTGTTGCTGTAAGTGGAGTTTGAACGGACGTAGAATGGCTCTTGGAGACCTGCCGAGTGAATATGAGGTGGGAGTTAGAATCATGAGAATTAACAAGCGTCTAGCTAGACCAGCGGATCTTCCAAACCTCAAGATTATCAGAAGGTTATTCGTGTTTATAAGACGTATAAGGTTATATGAGGAAGGAACATATCCCTTCTGCATGAGGAAGGAAAGTACTTTCAACCTATCTTGTCCTGAAAATCATATTTTCAAAAAATTAATCGAGTGAAAAAAAATTGGCGCCTCGCAGGGATTGAACTCCAGTCACCACCGTGGAAGTTAGATACACTAACCTGTATGCTATCGCTTCACTCGTAGTAGTTGTAGTTTCTCAATATAAAAAAGGAAGGAATATCGTTGTGGGTGACGTCACTCGACCTCGATGATTGAAGATGATAGATAGATAGATAATATTCATTTGTTCTCTGAAATCAGAGCCTAAAAATAGGCGTAGAACTTGTCAATACATAATACATGGTACATTAAAAATAGCAGAATACAGAAATATTATAAGTGTATGTGGGACATCAATCCACAAATATAAAAATAACACATAAATGATATATAGAAATATTTTAAACTGCAATCTATATTTGCCAACTGTCAGAGAAATACTCTTCTATTGTATAATATGCTTTCGATATAAGAATATGTTTCAGTTTGAGTTTGAGTTTTTTTGGGGGCAATGATATGAGCGATTTTGGTAGCTAATTATAAATTTATTTGAACATATGTCAAGTTAGTTTTTATATTCAATAAGTGATATTTGTGTCTTGTATGATGCTCATGATGATCTCTAGTATATTCTGCAAATAAGTCCATGTTTTCGGAAACAAACATTACTGATTCAATCTTTGGTAGAAGTCCATATTGCTCAAAGTGGAGTGAAATATTTCACAGGAAGGAAGGAATGCTCGAAGTCATCTCCACAAATTTTAATGATATTATTAACTAATTCATGAGGGACATGTTTCGGTCTTATAAAAGACCATCTTCAGCCTAATTGAAAAGTCTACAATACAAAACAATGATATTGAAATGAAAAGATTACCTATTTTATGCTACTTACTTGGAGTTGAAAAAATTATTTTATGTCAATGCCCATAGTCGAGAGTTCCAGAATGAAAATTGAGTAAACGGGTTCTCAATAATTGAAGGGCCCCGTGCCCTGAGAGCGTATACTAGGTTTTATAAAAGAACATTTCATATAACCAAAAAGGTATATGAAGGGTATTGTCAAACAATTAAAATCTGACACCATAAACTAGCGGGTTTTTAAAAAAGGGGTTCCCCGTTCCCTTATGAAGGCATTATTTAAAGCAAATATCAATAAAATTGATGGGGCAAGCAGCCAGCACGTGTTTTAAATCTAAACTAATTTGGTTAGAAAACACTGAAAATTATGTCAATTGAAGACATGGACAAGACGTTGACATAGAGTCAATGTCAATGTCAAGGGATAAACATGAAAATCTGACCATGAGCATAGGCATTTAACAAGATCTATTACAATTATTGGAGAATTTGGATTAAGGGGGGGATACATGTAGGAGAGAGTTGAGCAACCTGAAAAAACCATTAACTATGAAATATCATAAAATAAGTTGAGACCAAGGTAGGTGAACTATCAGTGATTAAAATCCAAAGCATTAAAAAATTTTATACAATCAAAGTGTGTTTGCTCATTAAGAGACAAGACAGAATTATTATTCAAGGAAGAGTTAATTTCGAAAATTTCCAGTAAATTCAGTAACCTACCTTTTGGACAGACATGTAGAATTTTGAGGTCCTGATTTGGATCAAAACTATGGTGTGAATTTAGGATGTGGTTTGCAAATGAGCTTTTAGTATCATATTCATCAAATAAAGGGGGAGTTTTCTTGGATTTTTCAATAATTTTAACATGTTCAGTGACTCTGGTTAAAATTTTTCTACCACTTTGTCCAACATATTGAGCATTGCAATTTGGATCAGAGCAAGAGATACAATATACTCCAGATTTTTGATTCAAAGGAACTTTATCTTTAGAATTAACAAAATTTTTTGAAATATTATCAACTGTGTAGAAAGAGATGTTAATATCCTCACTATATCGATGAAAAATGTTTTTGATATCATAGGAGACTTTGCCAAGGAAAGGAATAGATGAAAACCGTACTCGTGGATTTTGTATTGGTAATAAGCTTCTGTTGAAGGATTTATTTTGGTGTTTATTAAACATCTTATTAATAATGTGGGGAGGGAAACCATTGTTGTGTCCAATCTGCTTTATAATATTCAGTTCCTTGTCAAAATTTTCTGGACTCATAGGGATATTGAACAATCTATGGAATAAAGAATTGAAAGCTGCAAATTTGTGTTGATTAGGATGGCAAGACATAAATGGAATTACAGAATCAGTGTGTGTGGGTTTCCGGTATATAGAAAAATCAAAAGTGTTATTGTTCATGTTAATAAGTAGGTCCAAAAATGGGAGAGAGTTGTTAGCTGCAACTTCCATAGTAAAATTTATAGCTGGGTGCAATGAATTGAGAAAGTTCAAAAGTAGGTTGACTTCTTGTAATGTGCCATCAAATAAAACCAAACAATCATCGACATATCGGTACCAGAAGCAGATTTTATGATGTAGAGTAAAATTAGTTAGCTGATTTTCCAAGTTGTGTAAGAATATTTCTGCCAGCAGTGGGGACAAATTGCTGCCCATTGCTAGACCAGAAACCTGAGAGAAAAATTTATTATTGATTCATATATAATGAGACATATCAGAGTCATTATTTTCTTCTCTATAAATAAAGGTTTACAGCTATCAATCATTTTCTTATTAAATATTCTTTTTATGCATCTCTTTTGTAATATAAAGATTTGAGATGCTGTACTACTAAAACCCCAAAATATTACTCCATACCTGATACGTGATTGTACATAAGCGTTATAGGACAGTAAAGCAACTTCTGGGGAAATATGTAGTGAAATAACTTTCAAGGCGTAACTGTAACTAGATATACTTGACGATAATTTCTCAATGTGACATTTCCAGTCAAGTCTTGTGTCAATTGTGAGGCCCAGAAAAGAAATCGACGAAACGGTATCGATGGCAGTCTCGTCTCTTCTGAAAGTTTTTTCAATGTTGGATTGATTTTGGTTGAAAGTTATGATTTGTGTTTTATCTTTATTGAGCTTAAGCCTATGTGCATCGAAGTAAATATCTAGGGAGTCTAGCATTGAAAAAATCGTCCTCTGCATATTTACATGATCAATGGATGATAATATTATAGAGCAGTCATCTGCATATTGAAAAATTTCTTCATTTGTTGCATTGCATATATCGTTCGTATAAAGTATATACAGTAATGGCTCAAGAATGGATCCTTGAGGTACACCCATTTTTATTATTCTATAATCAGATCGCTGGTATAGCTAGACGCTTGTTAAGAAGTATAAAACATTTGTTTGTCGGCCACTACTATACAAAAAGTTACAGTTCACGTTCTAATTTCCGCGAAAAACCGACTGTTTCCGAAAGCAATTACTTTTTTTCCGCAGACACCAACTTTGCGTCCACAAACACCATCAGTTCGCTGTGAGGTTGCCAGTTTTACTGAATTTTCAGTAATATTTTGATTCGCAATTTGATCTACTGATCTACTGAAACATTTTATAATCAACTGAAGAATATTTTTGACCTTTATTTATTATTTGAATTACCTTCATTATCATCAATCTTCGGTTAATCACATACACTTATAAATTGCATGATATTTCGGCACGCTCTGTTCAGATTAATTTTACCGAATAAGTGATGAATGTACATATAGGTACCAATGATATGCTCAAACCAGAAAAGGAGAATACCTAATCTCATTCAGATCAAATTCAATTTATTTTATACCTTTGTTATCACAGTTTGTTCCTTACTTTCAATTATTTTATTTGTTCTGTATTTTTGTTGTTCATCAAGACTGTTCATTGCTGATTCCAATATACTCACATCTCATAAGTACCTGATTATGTAACTACTGTATTTTGTGATATCTGTGAGAAGTTTTGAATTGAGAAATAGGAATATAATTATTTTTTTCTACAAACGTCAAAAAATGACAAGGTTCGCGCATTGATAACAAATTGCGAAGTGGCACTTTTTTTCAGTTTCCTACGTTACCATGATACCTTGCACATAACAATGCGCGAAGTAAAACAGTGCGCGAAGTACCTACTTCGCGCATTGTTATGTAAAATATATGAGATATTTTTAATCCAACTTAATGGTCCTCAATCGAGCAAACATCCACGAAATCATTCATTTCTGAATGTTCAATCATAACTTCGTATTATATCTTGGAGCGCACGAAAGGAAATTCCTATTATGTTCGTGGAACATCGTGCGTACCTAGGGAGGATAGGAGGAGGCTTTATAAGCCAGTACAACACTATTTTTCATATCAATCTAAGCATATTTTTACCTTAGAACTATATTTTTTGACGTTTGTAGAAAAAATTTTGTTTGCAACTCGAGCGCGAAATACTTTGGTCATCTCGACTATTTTTTTAACTCGGCAACGCCTCGTTAAAAAAATCAGATCTCGATCACCAAAGTAGCATTTCGCGCTCTAGATACAAAAATAACTATTGTACTGTAATGTTTGTTTTCTTCGTTTCTATTCTATTGGGAATGGGTTACTTCTCGATCTACTGAGAGTACCTAATGATTTGACGTCACAGGTTCATTTCATTATTCTCTTTTTTATGTTCAGGTACCCATGATGAGGGATATCCTGTGATGTTCAGAGAAAATCGTGAGAACCAAGGAGAATTCGGTGAGAATTGGTGTTCTTCTCAAATTTCTGGAGGTGATATGCCACGGGGAACACCTTCCTTGGCAATGTGCTCCAGCGACTCGCTGTTCCTTGGATGAACGAATCTCTGGAAAGAGAGGTACTGCAGGTCTCCAAAGTGACCACGAACGGTTGTGGAGCCTCAAATCGACGGGTTAATATCGTGGAGACTGCCAAGGGAAGAACAATTGTTGATATTTCAGAAGAGCATCGTCCATGAGAATATCTATAAGATAGAGCCAGATCTACGGTGTTCTAGAAAAGTGAGTGAGTTTGTGAGCGATGCATCACCCACGAGTCGAATTGCCCTTTTTTGGACAGACAGTTTCAGGGTATGTTTGGGTGCTTCACTCCAAATATGGGAACAGTATTCCAGGACACGTCGAATCTGTGCCTTATAAATCATGGGAGTGAAATGGCTCCTAGACCGAAGCATAAAACCAAATTTTTGGGATGCACTTTCAGCAATTGATCCCACTCGATTTTCCCAAGGAAGGTTATTGCTGATAGTAGTACCAAGCATCGAAATGGATGTCTTCAAAGGTATGGTTACTCCTGACAAGCACATGTTGGACACAGTGAGATTGGCTTTTTTAGAAAAAAGGCATGTTTGTGTTTTGTTTGCATTGAAATCTACCAAGTTATTGGATCCCCATTCGAGAATTGTTGCCAAGTCCATATTTATGTTGTCAAAATTTCTCCCTCGTTCGTTTCTGACTTGCCTGGCTGGTATTGGAGCCCTGGGAGAGAAGGCGGTATGGAGGGTTCTATCATCCGCGAAGCTGTGTACTGGACATGAAGTTACTTTCAACAAATCGTTGATATGGAGTAGAAATAGTGTTGGTGCTAGAATTGATCCTTGCGGAACACCAGCATTTATGATAAGAGAGTCAGATGAAACTTTGTCGACAACTACAAGGAGATACCTGTTTGAGATAGAACTAGCTAGCAGAAAACATAGCTGGGGAGGCAAGCTATAAGATGGAAGCTTGGTTAGGTGCCTGTGGTGCCAGACTCGATCGAATGCCTTGGAGAAATCAAGTGCCACGGCTAAGGTTCCATCATATTTTTCAATAGATTGCTACCATAATATGTGAGACGTAAGCGAGCAGGTCACCAGTTGATCTCTGATGACGAAAGCCATATCGCCTATCGTTGATAATACTTGAATGTTCCAGGTATTTCATGAGCTCGATGTTGGTAGCTTCCTCCATGATCTTTGGAATAATAGATAGCAGTGCGTTCGGTCTGTAGTTGCTAGGTAGGGTTTTTTTGCCTATTTTAGGAACTGGTTGCAATTTTCCAGTTGGACGAGAATATTCCCAATTTGTAAGAGTAGTTGAACAACTTGCAGAGAACAGGTGTTAGTTCGGAAGCACATTTCTTGAGGACAATCGGTGGGATCCCGTCGGAACCATAAGCTTTGTTGGTGTTGAGACCCAATAAAATCTTCCTTATAGTCCGTTGGCGAAAGGTGATCTCGGGCATATTGTAGTGTACGTGGTACGATCTATCACGTCTAGCTAACATCAGGGGTTATTTAGATAGGAAATAGGGCTAAAAAAATATCGAGTTTTCGGTGAACAACGGTATATGTGATGTAGTATATGACAGTGCATCTCTTTCTGTTGTGCAAGTTATCAACAAAGTGCAATTTGAAGCAGAACAGTGCATCTTAGTCCTATCGTTAAACGAGAATACAACAAAAAAGGGTTAACTTTTTCTCGAGGCTAGCAGCAAGAAGTGTGAACAAATTGAAAAAGTGCTATGTTGTACTGATTCTCTTATCTATATCTACTCTCTGCATTTTTGCTCAATGAGAAAAGTACAGGTCCGGACTCAAAATATTTGATAAAATACAATGAAGTGTTGGTCATGTAAAAAACCCCCCGATAAGGGAAGAGACATTTTCACGTGTGATATCTGTAAAGATCATCAGTGTAAAGAATGTTGTGGCTTAACTTCCTTTGAAGTGAAAGTAATGGAACTTAAAAGTAGAGTTATGATTCTACCCTGCAGTAAATGTCAGAATCAGTCCCATCAGGATTCATTTGATGAAATGCTACGAGCCATAGAGCGAACAATGATTGGAGAATTCAAAAACCTACAGGCTGTTATTGAGTTGCAGAATAAAAAAATTTCAGAACAAGATGAGGTGATAAATAAAATATTGAAGAAAACGAATCTCGGTGATGCTGGAAGCAGTAAAACTTATGCCAATGTAGCAGCTGTTAAAAATACTGAGGTGATAGTCATCAAACCAAGAGAAAAACAAGACAGTAATGTAACAAAAAGCGACTTGAAGGCAAAAATTGACCCCAAGGGTTTGGCTATTGGAGTGGAAAACATGAGGAGAGGAGAAGAAGGTGCTGTCATCATTAATTGTACTAATACAATGGCAAAGCAGAAAATCAAGCAAAAGGTCGAGAGTGACTTTGGAAGTAAATACAGTGTTGCGGATGGAGTACAAAAAAATCCAAAAATTATAATTCGAGGGGTAGAAGAAGAATATATCGATAATGATGATAGTGCTATAATAGAATGCATAAAAGAACAAAATGACCTTCATATCGACGAGTCAACAATCATAGAGGTACAGAGGAAATATAAACAGAAGGACAAGGTGGATAAAGGCAATATAGTACTAACTGTGGATGTCTCACTCAAAGAAAGAATATGTGAATTGGGAAGAGTCAACATTGGATGGAGAAGATGTATGGCACACGAGTTCTTCAGTGTGATGAGGTGCTTCAAATGTGCGAGATATGGGCATACAGCTCAAAAATGTGAAAATAATGTGACATGTTTCAACTGTGGAGGTTCTCATAAATCAAATGATTGTCCTGATCCTGAAAACGTGAGTTGTATAAATTGTACTGAGACCAACAAGAAACTGAAAAAAGCGCTGATAACAAACCATACTGTTTTTGACCCTGAATGCCCCTGTTATAAGAGGCTTCTTGAGCTAGAAGCTAAGAAAACAAAGAAGGTATAGCAATTAATTTGTTCATCTCTAGACCAAACTAACAAAGAAAATATATCAATAAGTCTATTCCATCAAAATGTTAGAAGTATTTCAAATTGTATAAATAACATAAGTGTAATAGTACAAGAACTCAAGGTACACTTCATTGCCCTTACTGAACATTGGCAAACATCTGATAGTTTGGGAGCATTCCACCTAGAAAATTATAAATTAATCTCATCTTTCTGTCGTAAAAACCAAGGAGCACATGGTGGAGTAGCCTTATATGCCTTAACACTATTGAATCCTTTAATAAGGGACGACATAAATAATTTAGGTGAAGAATATGTTTTTGAATGTTGTGGTGCTGAAATTAGAATTGATAATACTCATTATATTATTTGTGCAGTGTACAAACCCCCAGCAACCAGTATTGAATATTATCTTGAAAAAATAGATCTTCTTTTAGAAAGAGCCACTGAAGGTAATAAATGTGTTCTGGTTGCTGGAGATTTCAACATTACAAAAAATGAAAGACACATACAGTTAGTAACCAATCTGCTGAGCTCCTATGATATGATATTCACAATAGATGAACCAATTAGAGTTACCATGCTCGGCGCAACTTGTTTGGATAATAATTATATATGTTTCCAGCAGAATAAATTATTCTGTAAATGTCATGGATACTAATATTTCTGATCATTATGGTCAATATATTTGTGTAGAAAATAATGAAGACAATTTAGAGAACATTTATGAGTGGAAACGTTCGTTCAGCTCAAAAAATTATGATAAGTAATTTCAACTGTTACCGAGTGAGACCTGGTTAAATGTATATGAAGCAGAAAGCGTTGATGATATGTACAGTAGATTCATTTCTCAACTCACGAGTTTTTTAAATGAAGCTTTTCCTCTGAGCAAAGTTCCTATTCAATCAATGAAAAAACCAAAGTGGATATCAGAAAACGTTATGAATGCAAAAAATACACTCGATTTACTATCAGAAATGTACTTTCTCAAACAAATAACAAACCATCAGATGAATGAATACAAAAAATATTACTGCAACTTGCTGTTGTCAGAAAAGAAAAAACACTATGGTGAAAAAATTAGGCAATCCGATAACAAATCTAAAACAGTCTGGTCAATCGTGAACACTGAACTAGGAAAATCCAAAAACAGGAATAACTCGTTCAATGGAATAAAAACTGACAATGAGTTGGTAACAGAACCAGATGTCGCTAGTAATATATTCAATGATTATTTTCTAACTGCTGCCTCTCGTCTCATAAGTGATAACACTGCAAATAATTTTGACATTAACCTTGTACAAGAATGTCTCGACACGATCTATCTATCAGAAATAACCCAAAATGAAGTTTTAGAAGTGATAAATAGTATGAAGAACAAGTATTCATCAGGGGATGATGAAATAAGTAATGTTTTACTGAAGAATGTGAGTCAATATATATAAGAACCTATAACATATATTCTGAATGAATCATTTAGACAAGGCATATTTCCCACAAAGCTGAAGGTTGCAATTGTTAGACCATTGTTTAAAAATAAAGGTGATCCACTTTTAGTCGAAAATCATCGACCTATCAGTTTACTTTCATCTTTTTCTAAATTATTCGAAATTATCATGTGCAGAAGATTTGTCCCATTTTTGAGTGAAAATAGAGTGATTACAAATAATCAGCATGGATTCCAGAAGAGAAAATCTACCACAACTGCGATTTTTACTTTTATTGAGAGGATCCTTCATTATTTGGACAATGGCTATATTGCTCATGGAGTATTTCTAGATCTGTCGAAAGCTTTTGACTGTGTGAACCATCAAATTCTTCTGAGCAAGCTATATAAAATGGGTATTCGGGGAGTAGCACATGACTGGTTTACATCCTATCTTTCAAACAGAGTACAAACAGTTTGTGTGAGGCATAATACAAAGTCATACCTCTCAGATGCGAAAACAATTTCTATGGGTGTACCACAGGGGAGCGTACTTGGTCCGATCTTGTTTATTCTATATGTGAATGATATGTCAAACATTATGGTAGATCCAACTATTACTTTAACTTTATATGCCGATGACACTAACTTGCTTATAGTAGGAAAAGATTATAACCTATTGTGTCACAAAACTAATAAAGCCACAGAAATTATTGCAAATTGGTTTCACAACAATGCTCTTGTTCTGAATACATCCAAAACGAACTGTATTCTTTTCCGACATGGCAGAAATACTTCAGTGTTTCCACACTCTATTAATCTTTATGAGACACAAATATCATATGTTAGGAAAACAAACTTTCTTGGTATTACCATTGATGAAAACATGGGTTGGTCGGAACATGTGAAACAACTGTGTGGTAGACTTAGTAGAATTTGTTATGCACTCAAAGAACTGAAGAAGGTTGTTGATCCTGAAACTCTCAGAACAGTCTACTTTGGTCAATTTTACTCGGTTATGTCATACGGAATCCTTTTTTGGGGTGGTTCACACGGTCAAGAAGTCTTCACAGTTCAGAAAAGAATTATTAGAATTCTGGGAAATTTCAAAGTAGGTGAATCTTGTAGAGGAAAATTCAAATCTTTAAACTTGTTAACTTTACCCGGTATATTTTTTTCAAAATGTGTAAACTTTGTTTTCAAAAATAAGCAGTTTTTCGATGGTGCATTGTCTAGCCATTTATATGATACAAGGCATAAAGATAATCTCACTTTCCCTCTACACAAGACCACTCTTCTTGAAAAAGGCAGTTTTTATAAATGTGTAGAATTTTATAATATGCTTCCTAGCAAAGTTAAGGAGATCAAAAACCTCTCCAATTTCAGACGAACAGTTATTAGACACTTGATCTGCTCTGAACCATATAAAATAGAGGACTTGAATCAAAGAATCTTTGCCCAGACTTAGTTTTAGGTTCAGTTATAACGGTAGCTCGACCATAGGTATATATATTTATATAAGTAACAATGGAATCTGCAATTCATTTCATGATGGTGCTGTAGGTTTTGCCGGGTTTTCCTACAGTTTTGAAAAGCAAATGCGCCACCCCGTTCAATGTAAGTTGCCCCGGCGCACAATCGGATAGACAATCAAATAATTGCAAATTCCATTTTTGCTTTGTAATATTGTTACAGTTGTAAGCACATATTATTCTCACATATTAGATAAGTAGTTAGGACTAGTACTACACAAATTGTAAATTTGTCTCTGGTATAAATAAAATTCTATTCTATTTTATTCTATTTTCTGACTGTCAATTGGCGTTATGTTTGGAGGTTGTTTTCCCGATGAATCCAGAGTGGAATTTCCAGCGAATAAATGCGCAAAAATTTTGGCTTTCTCTTGGGCAGAGTTTAGAAGTTATGCATCATTGAAAACTCGTTATGTGCTGTCATACACAGGGTGCGCCTCTTAAAATAACACCCCCTCTCAACTCTTTCGGTTTTGGAAATATAGGAAAATGTTGAATGGAAAAGGTGTTTGAAACGACCCAAACTCTTATTTCGAGAAGTTGCTGTATATACAGGGTCATTCGATTTTTCGAAAAGGACATTAACTTTGATTATCTGAATGGAACACCCTATATATTTGCTGACATGTCGATAGAGATTTTTTTTTAAGTTCAAAAATATATATGAATCGCATATTTGAATGGAAAATAATTGAGTTGTTACTGATCGAAGTTCACCAGAATAACGCATCTTCCATTCAAACTGTCCATTCATATTTCTTGTATTGAGATTGAATGATTTCGATTTCATAATGATCAATAACATGACATTTCCATGGAGCCTGAACAATGAATGAACATTATTTTTTAGCCCACTATGGTCAACTTACATTATTAGATAATATGAAGTGAAGGTTCATAAAGCAGTATTTTGGTAAACTTTGATCATCAATAACTCAACTATATTTCATCTGGAAATGAAACTCACATATATTTTGGAGATCAGGAAAACGGCTCAATCGACATGTTGGAAAATATATAGGGTAATTCATTGAAACAATCAAAGTTCACGTCCATTGGAAGAATGTCTTCATCAAATTTTTTTTATATCTCTGAAAAAACGAGTTAAGGTGGAGGGGTTCCATTTCAAGAGGCGCACCCTGTACATGGCTACTAGATTCTTATTGATATCGAAAAAAGTGCTCTCATAGTGAAAATGAGTTCGATATTCAGTTTCGCAGAACTACAATTATTAAAATATATTGCTAGTGGTAAAGAAATTGATATATGTATACCTAGTATTGACTTGGACTTCAGTGATTACCTGAAATTTTCCAAAACAGCCGTGAAATCATTCTTCCTAGAACCGTATTCTGATACAGAACTATTAAACATATTACACCTCAAACTGCAGAACAAATCCTCAACAAATAATGTCAAATTAATTTTTTTCAACCGGAATATTTCCAGACAATCTGAAGATTGGTAAACTGGTTCCAATTCACAAAAGTGGCGATTCACGATTTGAAAAGAATTATCGACGAATTACAGTACCCTCTAGCTTTTCGAAAATTTTTGAGTATGCTTTCCTCAATAGATTATTATCATTCTGTGATAAATTCAAAATCTTCTCGAATTCCTAGATAAAAAATCAACAATCACAGCAGTTGACTCATATTACGAGGAGCTAGTAAAATTGGTTGATACTGGTGAATGCCCTGTTGGGATTTTTTGTGACCTCATCAGGGCCTTTGACTGTGTCAACCATGATATTTTACTATACAAACTGCAGAGATACGGAATACAGGGTATTCGTCACCATTGGCTGCGAAGCTTTCTGAATTCAAGGAGCCAGTACGTTTCTATTGACCATACTATCTCTTCAAAACGAGCAGTCACAATTGGAGTACCTCAAGGCTCAGTTTTGGGGCCTGTCCTTTCCATATTATACTTGAATGATTTGGATGACATACCAGTCCATTCTTCTCTCACTATGTATGCGGATGATACGTCGCTGATCATCTCAGATAAATCAGACAGTCTACCATCACATACATGTAATGAGACTCTTTCGATCGTGAAAGATTGAATCAATGCAAACTTCTTGAGTTTGAACATGGATAAAACAAAATCAATGAGATTCCATAATCGTCAGAAAACCTATATCGATGTGAACATATCTACAGATAATTACTGTGAAAACATTGTTCAAGACATCAAGTTCTCGGGGCTGGTCGTGGATGAGTGTCTTACATGGAATAATCATTGCAGAATACTACAATCTCAATATAATTCTAACTCATATCAGTTCAGGAATCTCCAATTATTACTTTACTATGACCAACTCCTGAAATTATATTATGCCCAAATAGATTCCAGACTAAGATACGGAGTACGCTTCTGGGGCCTATCTACTGCATCATCAGATGTTTTCATTGCACAGAAACGTATTATACGCTCACTCGTAGGAATATCAAAACGCTCCTCCTGTAGGGACCACTTTAAAAATTTGAAAATCGTGACCCTACCATCGTTATCAATTCTTGAATTCTGTCTTTATTCGTATGAAAATCGAAATATCTTAAAGATTATTAATTCAAGGTATGAATACAATACCCGCCAAAGAGATTACTTTTATATTCCGTTTAGTAATACGAAAATTCATTATGATTCTTTTATAGCAATGGCTCCCCGAATTTATAATTTTATTTGAAAAATAGGAAAATATCTACAAATGTGAACATGTGAATGTATTTCCGATGTAGAACTGTAGTTTTGAGTTATTTGTGTTTGTTTTATTTAACTTATCTAGCTTTTTTATCTACTTCACCTGTAATGACGAATCCAACACAATTTTCAATTGTCAGATGGAAAATGAAGGTATTATTATTATTATTATCATTATTATTGAAGAATATTATCACAACGAGAACTTTTATCGCTTGGCTGGGACCTCGCTGATCTTAGTCCCTGGGTGATGATGATATTGTGTACTACCTTGGCGTATTGATAACTATAATGTCAGTCGCTATTTCTCACCAAGCTGTTGCTGCAACTCCATCTGCTGTCTCTTCTTCTTCATCCTCTTCTCCTTTTCCGCCATCCTCTTCTCGTCGTAGCAACAGTATCCGCAGTTGGAGCACAGGCAGCAGCAGAGTGCTCTGGAAAACACACCTCGGGCCACCCTGCTCAGGATGGAGCCCACGCTGGAGAGGTAGAGCAGGGTCAATGGGATACCGAACATGGCGTATCCCATCGTGACCGCCTTGCCCAGGGAGGTTCTTGGTGCGATGCTGCCATAACCTGAAAACAAAATCATCCATTATTACGATGCCTCATTTTCAACTCGATTCTTTTTAATCTATCGAAGCGCACGACAGTCAATCCCTTGATATGTTCGTAGAACAACGTGCGTACCTCAGGTTCATAGGGATAGAATCAAGATTCATTTATTTCGTATCAGGTACAGGGCACAATAAACATGTTGGATAATGCATTACAATGATATTCGTCATAATTCCTAATATATTGATGAAGTAAGACGAACAGTAGCTAAAATTAATCTGAGCAGTTGATAATTAAGCACATTAAAATTAAAATTGGAATCATTCCATTTGAGATCATTCATATCCCTGTCTGATTTTCACCACTGGAATTGGTCATTGAGGTAATCCTCTACGGAATAGTAGGCTTTCCTCAGGAGGATATTCTTCATTTCAAATTTATAGGTTTGTATGTTTTCGATTTCTTCTATGTTTTCTGGGAGTTTCAGCTCTGCCATCTTTCATAGATATTTCTATCAGGCATATATGGTGGTGAACGGAGTATCGTCTGATACTATTGTCATCAATTCTGGCATTTCGCAAGGATCAAATCTTGGCACCAACATTGTTCCTACTTCATATCAACGATAATTGCCAAAGGAGGTCTTCCTCGAGGCATATATACTCCAGAAATTCAAGAAGAACACCAATTCCTACCTTATTTGTCTTGGTTATCACGATGTTCTCTGAACATTACAGGATATCCCTTTTCGTGGGACCAGAACATAAAAAAAAACACTAGCCCTATCAACAGGTTTGCACACAATAGTACTATCCACGCTGCGTTTTCTTCTAGAATTCCCATTCCATCCCAGGAACAATTATAAAATGCATGAGAAAATAATCATAATATTGTTAGATGAAAAGAGATGCGTGATGATATTACTGAAGTATTTCCATGACCTCGAATAATAAAGGGAGCTATACATAATTTTCCATTTCGAAACTTCTCGAGTTGATTTTTCTCGAGTTTTTTATAATGGAATACCCATATATTTTTTGACCACATGATACAGGCAGATAACTCCATGTGGTAATGGATGGTCTATCGTCTGATACCATTTCCATCAATTCCAGCGTTCCACAAGGATCGATCTTGGCACCAACATTGTTCCTACTTCATATCAACGATCTATTAGGAGCAACCACTAGCCCTAATCGCAGGTTTGCAGACGATAGTACTCTCCATGCTGCGTTTTTTTCTAGCATTACCATTCCATCCCAGAAAACTATGAACTTGCGACGAAGGCAAGCCAACGCTGTCAATGAAGGTCTTGTGAAATATACAGCCTGGGGAACCAACAACCTGATAAAATTCAACAGAAACAGTTGAGAAAGAACAGTTTAGTACCATAGTCGAATAAAGAACTACAATTTCATAGTTGAAGTGAAGTATATCAAATATATGTGAATAATAGATCTCAAGGAATACAACTGGCAACAACAGTCAAGAGGTATAATACAAATAATAAGCGATTGGTTTTTGGATGAATAAATTGATATTCATCATACAGGACGTGGAGAGAAACAAAAGTTTGAACTCCGTGATTGGATGAAAGTATTGAGAAGGAATATTCTAAGATAAAATAATGAACTTAAAAAATGGATATATATTCAAAGAAATATATTGAGAATTCGCATTCTCTATGTGATGAGAATATCAATTCTATCCCGATTAATTCAACAAAAAACAACTACTTTACTTGCTATATTCCACGACGAACATTAAATTATATCTATTGAACACACACGATAAGAATCAGAAATTAAAATCTTCAAGATCAGAGTTTATACAAGTATACTTCTCCTATTCATTTCAATTTTCATTTCAATAGTGAACATGTTGGTGAGTTATATTTCTATATCATAATACATCATATTATTTTATCCGATTTGAGAGATAATGTAAGGTCTCAATTTCAGAGGATTTTTATTTTTCATTATCTCTTTTTTTTTTTGGGTGTTCAACAGACATGATTCAATGTTAGACGTGGCCAACAGCCAGGAAAGAAGTAGTTTTCTGTTGAATACTCCGAATGATATTATGTGCATATTCATAACTAACTTTTTTTGAAGAATAATGCAGATTCTCTACTTCAGAAGATTTTGTTTTCAAATTCTTATCGTGTGTGTTCAATAGATATAATTCAATGTTTGTCGTGGCATATAGCCAGGAAAGTAGTTGTTTTTTTTTTAATAAACCAAGGAAGAATTGATATTTTCATCACATAGAGAATGCGAATTCTCAATATATTTCTTCATATTGAATCGACTGAACTCCTCGATATTTCCTATTATATCATATTTCTTTATATCATTATATATCCATTGTTTATGTTCATCATTTTATCTGAGAATATTCCTTTTCATTAATAATCAATCCAACAAACATATGAAGCTGAAATTGATCCACAGGAAAAATTATTCGGTTATATGGTATTATTTGCCTATAATCACATGTTACCGCCGGACTGAAATAATAGATGAGATTTTGAAAATGTTCCGAATGTTCAATCAACATTCAACAATATGAAGCATTTAGCATTAATCGAATTTGAATGTGTATACTAGTAATTGAACGATTATGGATGCAATTATCGACAGATTTCGATTCGCACGGTGTGCAAATAGTTATAGGTCAATTTGATGATTAGCCTCTATAGTTGGAAATCAATGAACTTCATATTGTATCTACACTGAGAAAACTCAGCCAAGTAAATCGTTGTCTTGAAAAAAAAATATCATTTGTGACTAAAAAATTTTTACCAACGGTAGGAAAATGAGGAACTTGAAAAGGGTAAAACAATATTTCTGGAACGACTATGTTTCTGCTGTGAGTGATCAGGATACCTGTTGGAGAGATGTATAAAAATTTAACTGGTGCGCATTATCAAAATATTTCAAAAATTTTCAAATTCAAACCGAATAACTTATTTAGTATCGAATTTGTTTAGATCTTCAATAGGAGGAGGTATGGACCACTGTGACCTTGCAACATACACCTATCTGTTGTAAACTTTGAAACTGCAATACTGAATTAGAAAAGTGTATTCCGGATTTCAAGTGAACAGAAATTAAAAACCTACTATATGACAAATGAATAACTGAAATAAAATGCCATTACATTCTCCATCAGATTTTTCTTAATATTGAGTAGATTTGAGTATATTATTTCTCTCTCGAGACCATGAGAGAGAGTCTTGGTCTTGATTATGGTCTCGAAAGTCAAGTCTTGGTCTTGGTTTTGGGAAATTTTATTAAGTTTTGGTTTTGTTCTTGTATCAAGACCAAGACAGGACCAAGACTGCTCTTGGTCTCGCGAAGCCCAAACATTTATGTTCAAGTCTCTCTCGAGACCATGAGAGAGAGTCTTGGTCTTGATTATGGTCTCGAAAGCCAATTCTTGGTCTTGGTTTTGGGAAATTTTATTAAGTTTTGGTTTTGGTCTTGTATCAAGACCAAGACAAGACCAAGACTGCTCTTGGTCTCGCGAAACCCAAACATTTATGTTCAAGTTATGTTCTCATGTTTAGTGGGCCTAGGTGGGGCATATGTTCCTGGATAATTTTTCAATCCCTCTCTAGCTAGCAGATCCCTATAATATTCAACGCTCACTTGAAAAAAAACAATCAACCTCTATATTATACCAATATCTGTCGATATTGCATTGGCGATTATTCTGGCGGTTCTGTGAGCATCGATTAATCACTCTGGGGAATCAGAAAATTGGTGGAAATGTCGAATGGTAATTATATTCGCCGTTTATTCGGCGGATTTCGAGACCACAATATTTAATCACCGAATTTATATTCGCGCCAACTGAATGATAATGCCGTACTGAATTTGAAGGATTCCATAAACATTAATTTGCATCAGGAATTTATGATTTATTGTAATAACCGCTGATGTTTGCTGCATCAATGCCTACATTGTATTTATTTTGCAGAATATAAGTGAATAAACTGCATGACGAATGGATTGACGCCCTATGAATATATATCTCAACCATCAGGGGCGGTACAAGGTAACAGCTCATTGAGACAAATGCTTTTTTATAATTAATATTTATTCTAGTAGATATGCAATCATATTCAGATTCCTCTCAAAGTATCCAAATTCCTGTTGTTATAATTTCAAACTATTGGATATATTTCATAATTATAATAGGATGAATTATCAACTGACAAAAACGCCGAAAGCCATAACAGCACCGCTATTACATGGTTCTGAAAATAAAAAAAAACTAATGAAATTATGTATCAAATACTATGAGAAGGTTCTGATCATTATATCTTTCTCCAAATGACATTAAAAGTGGATTATTAATGAAACCTAACAGGCAAAAAAGGTGTACTTTTACTGCCTAGGCAAAAAAAGTTTGTTGCTATGCAACGTTCCAAGTAATTTGAATCGAATTGGTTATCAAAATTGACAATGACTTAGGGTGAACGGAAAATGATGGATTATTTGGACTTTGATTGAAATTGAAAAGTATTTGCAGAAAAAATTATATGTTTCAAATGGCAGAAAAAACAATGTAATGCCTCTGCTGGTTTCTTATCCTCGTCTACGCTTAGGCTATGAAACGCGCCAGCCGCGGCATTAAATCTTGTACTTTTCTGCCTACTAAAACAAATAACTATTCTACAAATTCAAACTGTAACGTCACCAGCTGTAATTTTTTTGTCAAATGGCAACGTATTATATTTTTGATCGTTCGAGATTGTTTTTATACGAATAGAATGATGTATGAGAAGTTGTGTTTTGGACAAAATTATTCAATAGCCATTTATATATTAAGGGAGGAAAGGAATTCATTTCCTACCGCTTGTGAATTTTGATGCATGAGGCGTAGCGGAGGGCATAGAACCGTATACATCTATATGTGTCAGGTAAGAAGAACCCTCCCTAATAATGATATTGGTAAACTCCTGAAAGTCAACTCTATATCATTGTTTTCAGAAAGGTTGTGGGATCTTCCAGAGATATAAAATCTTCTTCGTTGACACAAAAAGCAATCAACAGGGACTAATACAATCAGTATTCCTGTAGATGAGATGCCCTGTTTTAAGAAAAAAATGAAGAGACCAGTTATATGATTGTCAATAAACAAGAAATACTGAATATTTTTTGTCACAGCTTTCGAAATTCTGCTTTAGCCAGACAGGTTCGAATTCCAAATGTAACAATGAAACATAATGGATATTCTCAATTTCCCTATCACAAACAGGGTGGACGAGCAACTTCTTCAATCTCTGGAAATGTCGAACCTGTCCTTGGTAGTTGTACTTTTCAAATAAATGTCACAAAGATCAACTATTCATTTGTGTTGTATGTACCTACATGTTTGCTTCACAACTGGCACTTAGGCTTGAAAAACATAGAAATGAAAACAGTTATTGAATAATACTTTTTACATTCAAATACTCCAAATTTCACTTCAATTAATTCCCGGAGAAACCATGAAATCCATTCAGAAATGAGGTCTTTCTCATGTCTTTTCTATGCCTTTATAAGACTCAAAAGAGACATTATAAAGATATCTTAGACGTCGTGAATTTCAACATCGGGCCTATAGAGGACGTCTTTCAGACGTCTCTAAGGCGCCCATAGACGTCTTTAAGACGTTGTGAACGTCTGAGAACGATGTCTTTAGGATGTCTTAAAGATATCTTTGTGCTGGGAAACAGCTATTCCTGAAATTGTTATCCTCATTATCCGATAGGTATCTAGTGTTGAATGCAGGTGTATGGCTATGAAAACACTTTTTTTTTTGGTATCCATCATCAGAATACCTGAATTTTTACATATTAATGAGGTGGGCAAGACTATGGCTCCTATTCTCCACTCTTCCTGGATCCCTTCTTATCTCACAAATATACACGTTCGACTATTTTGGATATTGCTAACAAAATTCAAGAATATTCCATAGGTAGGTATACCAATGTCAAGATACCGCAACATCTCCCAGCAAACATATATTTCGCGGGAATTTAGACGCCCTCCGAAAACTGCCGACAGACAATCGAGTCGATTCTGTTTGCAAATAGCAATATGGTTGTAGAGAAGATATTGCCATCATATCAAGATTCGAAAAAGTGGAATTCTAATCATCGATTCTTGGCAATATGATCTGTCAATTTCAAAGATATTTGGTCAGCTTCTTGCTATCTCGGCAACATCAATTTTGTGCTTGCTATCTTATAACAAGGTAGTGGATTCTTCGTTTTCGCACTGCAATCTCTTCTGAATAAAAATTCATAAAAAAGGAGATAAAAAACATATGAAAGTTCACTTGTGTTATTAACCTCTAGACAACCTTTCCTCAAAGTTACAATTTGTAGAGGAAATATTGAAAAATTCAGAAAATAGGTGATTATAAACATATACAGAGAATTGCACAAAAACGGCCAGGCCTGTATCTTCTGAATAATTCTAGATCGGATTTCGAAAATTAGTGGGTAGCAAGTATACTAAATTGCTTATTGATCGACAAACCAATTGTTGTTCTATCACTTCCGGTTTCACCGGAAACGACCCAAACTTTTGATTTTTGAATAGGACACCCTGTATTTTATTCCATAATCGGTTAGGGATTATTATGACGAATTCAACGATACCGGGTTTGATAGGGTTACTTCAAATGACAACGAAGATATTCGCATTGTAAGTTTCCATTTGTTCAATAAGTGGGACAGAGAAAGAAGTTTCGATATTTGGAAGTCACACCCATTGAGCATATGGAAACTTAGAACGCGAATATCTTCGTAATCGTTTGAAATAACCCTATCAAATCTGATATCGTTGAATTCTTTATGACAATCCCTAACCGATTATGGAATAAAATACAGGGTGTCCTATTTAAAAATCGAAAGTTGGGGTCGTTTCCGGTGAAACCGGAAGTGATGGAACAAAAATCGCTTTGTCAATTATTATTGAGCAATTTCGTATACTTGCTACCCACCAATTTTCAAAATCCGATCCCAAATGATTCAGAAGTTACAGCACTGGCCGTTTATTGTGCACTTCTCTGTAGGTTTCACTTGTGTGACCAACTACTTGAAAACCTTTCCTTGAAGTTCCAATTTGTAGAGAAAGTATGATACTACAATTTCGGCATATCAGAGAGAAAACAGCAAACCATTTGAGTTGCCTGATGGATAGTTCATCGAGCTATTTCGCTTGAATAAGCCAGCAACGTGGGTTTTTGAGGTTATATCAATCAGGTTCTTTTCCAGAAAAAATCACGTCAATTTGAATAAGAATTTTGAAAAACGTCAGTGCAGGACAGATTAACTTGGGAGGTTAGATAATCATAAACTGTCCTTCTTCATAATATAATGGCAATAAAGGTGTCTAACACTCAACAAGTGAGTTAGAAACAGTGTTGTCAGCACAAAAATTCTCCATTCTTCAACAATATTGCTATCACTCGAACTCATAACCAACCTTGCAGTTACTGTCCAAACAGAATACAGAATTGTATAGCATTATTGATCATAGCGATATTGTTTTCTTAACAATTTTATAACAAGATACAAACAGAATCAACTCGAATATCAGCGAGACACAATCATGATTCATCGTTGGCCCGGCTAGCCTGTGTCGGACGCCGGAGTATCGGCCGACAACTATTCGGTTAGAAATAACAATGATAGCAGGGGTCGAGTTCGGTTTCGAAGAAGGTATAACGCACACAGCTTGCAGAACAGGAAACTTCGACTTCGACTATGTTTACACTGTAACTCTGCAGTCTACCATCTGACATGCATACAGTTGAATCAGATATATTATGATCGTAGTGACATGAGACGACTTTGAAGAGTATATAGCAAGTACAATAGGCAGATGAAGATACATCGACTTCATCGGTGTGCACACTCTATTTCTTTATTCTATCATTTCACATGGATTCCATCGAAGCAGACGGGTTCACGATGCCCATATGAGACGTTTTCTAAGCGGGTTATAAGGCACAAAACTTGCAGAACAAGAAACTTCGACTTTGACTATGTTCACAGTGTAACTCTGCAGTCTAGCATCTGACATGCATACAGTTGATCCAGGACGATTGCAGTGACCGTATAAGACGACTTTGAAGGGATTATAACGGGTACGATAGGCAAATGGGAATACATCGACTTCATCGTCTTACACTATATACAGGGTGGGTCACGGTGGATGGCCTATTAGACGTATCTGAAGAACGAAAGGACAGAACATTCTGAAAAGTGGGATGCTTTGATAATTGAACATTCTCTATCCGTCTAAAATGTTTTCATCAATACAGTGTTGCCACTTCTATCAAAAACAACTAGCAATTTCGTTATTTTGAATGAAGCACCCTGTATTTTATTGCATTTTCAGATTCTTCCTAAAGAGCTGATTTTATCAATGCATCACACTTGGGGTCTAGCAGGAATGATTACAGAGATATAGGGTGTTCAAAATCGAGATTTTTCAATTTTGGGATTTTTTTGTGTCGAAACTATTCATTATCGATCAAAATGATTCACATAACCCTATCTCAACTTTCGATTCACTATCTACTGACATTCAATTGAAACAGATACATGGTGATCAGAATTCTGAATCTTGAAGCACCCTGTATTTTCTCCAATTAAATTCCAGTAGATAGTGAATCAAAAGTTGAGATAGGGACATGTAGGCCGTTTCGATCAATAATGAATAGTTTCATCAATTGTCAGACACACATTTCACTGCGCTACTGCTGCACTTGAATGATATTAGTTATAAATTCATCAGTCAACAGCATACCTATCATAACTTGATTGACTTGATGATATATCAAATATATATAAATATATACTTTGGTGAATCTATATATTACTCGCATACAAAGTTCTAAATTAGTTGATAATCTACCTGCTTGGTGTGCGCTGTATAATTGGTTCTGTGATAGTATCTACTTCGTAAAATATACCTAAATATTATCAATAAGGTAGGTGAAACATTGAATATAAATTCTGCTGTTTTTCACTATGAGCTGAAACATTGTTCTGTGGGTTGACTCAATTGAAGAAATTGAGATATTCAAATAACAAAAACGTGGAAGGTCTGGGTATAAAGAGCAATTCAAATCGGAATTTTGCCACTTTCATGTAGATATTCAGATATTTCGGAACTCGACAGGAACTCATCATTCTAGAAGGCAAAGGATTACAATGATTCCAAGCCCATCATCATGATACACACGTTCTGCTACTGCACATACCTACTGCAAATAATTCACTTGTGCCTCCTCATAGGTTATATATGTAGTCGAAAATGGTGGAAATTTGTTGAGCTTTATAGTTTATGATAACTCACCCAATCAAGTTGAATTACTTCAGAATTATAGTGTGGAAGATAACTTCTCGAACATTGTTTTCATTTTGTAGATGAATAAGTATATAAACAAATCTAAATTTCATGATTTTCGTGTATTTGCGAACGTCCATGATTGTTTAATGGATGTCAATTGTACATTACGTACAAGACACAGACGTATGTACATTCGACATCATACATTTGTACATTCATTGTACGTACATATAATGTATACATGATTTATTGATATAAATTGTGAATGATTATCTTCTCCATACCATTTCGTATTCATCTCAAACGGAAATGTAATCCTTAGAAAAACGCATTTTATCAGAAACTCATCCGAACGTCCAAAAAAAAACACCCATTGGACGTCCACTAGTAAACAATCACTGAACGTCCAATTTATTCACATATATGCACTCATACATGCAATATTGATTATTGACGAAATCTGGAATATTAACTAGTAATGTAATATGATAATTATCAATAACACACAACCTTGGTTAAACAGGGTGGTTGGTTCACCGACGTATATCTGGAAGGGTGTGATAGTTGAGAACATGCCGAACATATTTCACCATATACATACTATTATACAAAGTGTTTCGAATTTTGAGGTATCATCGTTTTTTCAAACATTTTATCTGATTAAATCTCTTTTTTCTTGAAAAGTCGGATACGCATTCCTTCGATAATGAAGACGAAATGGGATCTAATGTGTTTAAAACATTTTTTGACTCGTTGGAATTCAAGAAACATACAATTTTTAATTTATAAGCGATGATTTTTCGAAAAGTACAACACTTTGTATAATAGTATATATGGTCAAATTTGTTCAAAATCATTCAACCTACCACCTCCTTCCGTATATACGTAGGTGAACCAAACACCTTGTATATACCGAGAATTTTGCTACAAAAAACAGTCCGAGGGCTAATGAAGGAAAAACAATGATCTGTTGCAGCAGAAGAAAAGGTGTGTCATTTTGTGAATAAAAGTCTGATAATCTGATCTAATGATTGATTATTTTTGTCTGTTGTGATCTATGATACGCATGACTGTACTTGTTATTTGTGTTATCAGTTATTAGTCATCATCATGAGAGAAATGTGAGGTTAAATTTTCCTAAAGTTGTACTTACTATTTGGAGAAGACCTTTTATGATCAGTATCCTCTGGATTCATTCATAGATACAATAATGAATGTACATTGTATGCCAAAGACATTTATGAAGTAGTTATCATTCGTCTGTTTCCTGGACATCCAATGTACATCAATTGTATTCATGAATGAATCCAGAGGATACAGTGAATATGTACAAACCATGGAAGCACAATGTACGTCCAATGGATTTTTTCTGGACTCGAAATGGACGTTCAATGTGATGTCTTGGACGTCCATTGGACGTATAATGAATGTCAGTCAGATGCACCGTGTTTGGCTCGGTAATGAAATGAAGTTGAACTATATCGTTGAGTGAGACAAAAAAGTATTGCTGGCCTTGATTTTTCGAAAACAAGTTTTCCAATCAATCAGATCCTGAAAAAAACGGATGTGAATAATGAAATACAGATCAAGCAAGTATGTAGAGCTTGGATTTCCTGATCGAAAGAAAAATACTCACCTATAATATGGTAAATTGATATCTCCATCATGGGTATATAATGCCGGATATGCCGAAATCAGGAACAAATCAGCTATACGTCCCAACTCCAATCACCAACCGTAAAATTATTGTTAATACATGATAACCTACTAAGGTTACACGGAACTCTTCGCGATATCTCTAAGTAGTTATCTTCAGGATCAAAATGCGAAATCCTCCTGCGAGGTGCCAAAGATCACTATAGGCTGTCACCATGGGAGATACTCTCTGGAGTCGTCCGGAATGAATCGCAGAGATCTCGCCTCAGATCATATCCCTAATAGCACACAACGTCCTAGGGACGTCTCAATTTGGTACAATTCAAGTCCGAATGTCCCGGACCAAAAATAAGTGTCCTTGGGACGTCCCATCCCGTACTTCTCATGCAATGTCCGAGTGAAGACGTCCACGGAATGTCCCAGCTGGTACATCATTTCAAATGTCCTTGAAATAGCATCCCTTAGACGTCCCACGTGTCACACATTGTAGAATGTCCATGCAAGGACGTCCTTGGTATGTCCCTGATGGGATATGATTTCAAACGTTCCTTCAGGGACATCCATCGGATGTCCCGAGTAGTACATATTCTGGCTTGACTTCATATCTTATATGATGCGCCTTCTAGACAACCACGAAATCGCCCTGATAGTACATATCTTCAAATATCTCTGCACAGACGCCCTTAATATTTCCATCAGGATCGTATAAAAATCGAAATGTCCCTTAGGGACATCCTTCGGATGTCTTGATTGGTACATGAACTATAATTATTCAATGTCCTAGAAATGACGTCCTATGGACGTCCCAGTCGGTACTTTCGATATGTTGTCCCAGCGAGGACGTTGACTTACACCTCGCCGACGAATGATTGCTCGCAGGCTATGAATACTCCTTATCAATGTTCTTCACGTGAGTCCATTGGACATCCTTGGAAAACTTCTTCAGGATCTATTGGGGACCTTCTACGGACCATCAACTCAACTGGATGTTCTCATCAGTTATGCAAGATCTGGTCCTAGAGGGACTCAGAAAAATTCAAATTCAAGAAAAATTCGTACGTCCTTGGGATATCCTATGGACATCCAATTGATATCCCTCAGCGTTGCTGAAAGGTTGTCCTCGACAGTTGTCCTAGGGACGTCCCTCAAGGACGTACCTAAGTGGTCCCCAAGTGGGACATTTGTGCGTCCCACAGACGTCCAATGAACGTCCACGGTACCAAATTCGAACGTTTTATGGGCGTCCTGAATGTCCGGACAGGACTTCCTAAGGATATCCATGGGACATAATTGTGTTATTAGGGATGCTCACTAACCTACCATTCTCCACTTCTTTCCTCTATACCTGGCACTGCACGGAAAAAAATGATTTCTTGCATCAGCAAATCATTTATGCTTGAATTATTCTTGTTGAATTGAGCAATTTTTTGTTGAATTGAACAGATATAAGATTATTTCATGAACGGAGCTTGTTCTAATTAAGAATGTGGTTCAATTGAATCAACAGTATAATATCAATTCCATCAACGAAATATATGGTTATCTCAACAACAAATTATGTCGATCCAAAATGAGGTCGATGTTGTCGATCTGATGAAATAATGATCATTTTGATAAGAATATATCTTTGAAACAACATACAAGTTTTCTTATTCCGATGCAGTAATGAACTCATTACGAACGGATCATTTGCTTGAATAGAGCAACGAGAAACGTAATATCAATAAAATATTCTGTTCATTCAAAATGAAGTTGAAATTTCGCGACTAGATGGCAATCAGAGAATTTGCCTCAAAATGTCACAGCGCTTAACATATTTTTTACATCAGGGAGCCTAAAATGAAAGTCCAATAGCGTGTCAGTGACACTTTGTTTCAAAAAATTGTTGAAGACAAGAGATATAGATATAGGTATTGGAGAAATATCGAATTTTCACTTATCTTCGGACGTTTCGAGAACGAATCTGCTTCCGTTCTCAACATAAAAACGCAAAATATTTCACTTCAAGAATGTTCTTATTATAGTTTGACACCCCTCAGTGACAGAATGCTTCTCTATGTGCAATTGATCTTGAATCTATCACTCTCATGTTCACTAAGATTGATATTTTGAAATTCCAAAATGGCGACTAGGCGCCATCTGTGGAAAAAATTGGAAGGATGTACACAGTACCCCCCTTTCCATCAATTTTTTTTTTCAGATTGAACCCAGTCGTCATCTTGAAATTTTCGTCTTTCAATTTGACACCAAAATATAGTATTTATGAATCAATTTCATAACCCCCAGTTCCACTTTTTTCTGTCGACCCGTTCAAAGAATAGTAGTAGGGAGAAAAGCACTGTACACTGTATAGGTTAGTGATGAGGACTCGCATCGGAAAACAGAGAGTATGAAACTGATGTTTACATGTTTTCTGTCATTCTAGCCGCCATGCTACGTTTTCTCGATAAAAAAGTGGTCGTTACTGGTTCCACATACGGAATTGGTTTCTCGATTGCTGAACGATTTGCTAAAGAAGGAGCAAAGGTAAGGTGCATCAAACTGATAGCTTTTCTTGTTATTCCCTCTTGAAAACAACATAATATATCATCAGGGTATAGCCACCTTCGAATGAGTTTATGATCTTCAGAAATAAGCAGCTGATGAAATTGCGGGACAATTGATGAAAAATCAAGGAAACTGCAATTTGAATATAGAAATTACAACGAATCATAAAATTGCGAATGTTTCACATTATGACGTATTTGGAATTTCGAATCAATTTTTATTGGTCCATATATCGTTCCATTGATGAAGCAGACATTATTTTGAATAGCTGTTTTGTAACACCGACTTATTTCATCTGAAGCTCAATAGTGAAACGGCATAGTGAAAGAATTCATAACAATTGTGCATTTTGTGATACAAGCATGCAACCTCCACCATTGTTCATACATAATATGAACTCGCTTCATGATCTGAGAGTCGTATACTTGCCTTAATTTTCATGTTGAAATTAATCATTCAGATTTGCATCGATGTAGCAGGGCCGAAAATCTACAGTCACCTGTCTAGTCCATCAATCTTGACCCAACCTATCCTAACCTTATATTCCATAACCTTAAACATCAATGAATTTCAGGTAGTCATATCCAGCAGAAAAACAAACCATGTTCAAGAAGCGACACAAAAACTTCGGAACAAAGGATATGAAGTAAAAGGTGTGGTGTGTCACGTATCAAAAGCTAATGAAAGAAAGAAGCTTTTCGAACAGGCTGAGGAGTATGGAGGGATAGATATTTTGGTCATGAATGCAGGTTAGCTTTTCAGAAAAAGTACTACGGAGAGGGTAGAACGGTCAACAACTATATTTATTTGAAATTTCAAATAGAATCATCTCTCAAGTACGTTTCAAATCCACATATTTTAGATTTTTCCAGTCGATTTTGAGTTCCAAAAATCTATGATGATGCCACGGTAATTTTCAAACAGCAAAACATTATCTCAAACAGCAACTGACGTCACGATTTCATAAGTACGGGCAGACAATAGCATAGTTGCCATAATATGTAATATTATTCATCCATGAAACTCATATATTCTCAATTACGTATCGGTAATGTTTGGAATCAGCTATGAAAATTCCATTGTGTTAAAATGTTTCCTCTCACGTATTTTGGCTCATCGATTAGAATTAATTTGTGTTCATATTTGATTATATCACTTCATACTACAGGACCTTTTGTCATGTCAACTATACCTTACAACACAGCAAATATTGTGGGCATTGTCAGCATTCAGCACCTTTTGCCAAATCTCCAGCCAGAATTCACAAGATATTTCGTTATGTAGAAAACGAGATATTTTTTTGAATGTTCTGATGAGGACAACGAATTATTGAATATGGCATCACGCACCAGGCGAATAGCTTTTGTCTGGATGGAATTTAAGAGCATCAGCGTATGCTGAACCCCATATGTGATAACAGTATTCTGTAACTGACCGTATCTGTGCCTTGTAAATCATGAGAAGTTATTGAGATGTGAAGAAGCTCGCTCAAGAATATCAAATGCTCGATCATCGATCTCGTGTGTGAACATTCTTGTTGCGCGAATAAAATGCTATCGAAACACTTATATAATGAAGAACTGATGATCTTTTCGAGAAATACATTCATCATATTTTCAATCAATGAGCTATGTATATATACGGGTTTCAATTTTTCATCAGGTGTTAATCCCGTTCCATGTGAAGTACTAGATAGCCCAGAAAGCGCTTGGGACAAAACATTCGAAGTGAATGTCAAGGCCCCATTCCTCTTGTCTCAAGAAGCTCTTCCACTACTCAAGAAAAGTCCAGCAGGTAGAATCATTTACATGAACACCGGAAGCGTCTACTACCATGCCGAATATCTGGGTGCATACATTTGCAGCAAGATGGCGCTACTGGGACTCATGAAAATGGCATCCAGGCAATTGGCGAAGCATGGTATAACGGTGAATAGTGTGGCTCCGGGGCCAGTGTTGACAGTATTTGGCGAAATTTTGAGACATAAGACAGAAGAACTCAATGCCGTATGTCCTATGAAAAGGCAAGTATGAGATGTGGTTGTTTCAACCACAAGACATGAAAGTATGGGAGAAATGATAAGAAGATTCACACAAGCATCTATATAGCCGGACCGTTTGGCTCTCACAGTTCCGCATGCGCAACCCAAATAACATTATCAGTTTTATAGTTAGCTACAGGAGGTTTTTACAGCCTATTTTAAAATGCCTATTAAAAACTGATATACTTCAATAATATCATTAAAACAATAAAACAACCTTCTCAGAACATGAAGCGCCCACCTTTATAAAAGCTGTCACAGCTTCTCTCAAGCTTGTCATAAAACTAAAAGGAATTCATTGTAGTATGCCTCGAAGCAATAATGAAACCTATCAGAACTGCTTCCTTTGAAGCCTTTTAGCATGCACGAGTTCAAACCTATATGCTCCAAAGTAGCAGTTCATATGCCAACATTAAAACACATATTGGCTAGAATTAAAACCTTATCAGTAGCAGTAAGCATTAGTTGAGATAATATAGTCCGTAAGGTGTTATATGGGAGTCTTTTTCTAGGACAAATTATAATTCGAACATGTCAAAATGGAATAAAAACTATGAATAGTTGTGAAAGAGAGTAAACATGGCGGTATGATATGATAATTCCCTACTGTATCAAATAGTCTTTCTTGTGAAGATTGAAGCTGTAAATTGGGAAGGATGAAACATTTCTTGACGAAAACGTACCAGATATGCTTCAAAAAAAGCAGCGCCCTAGAAATGATGTGTTTTCAACAGTTAGAATTGGATGTGAATTTTAATAACTTTTCAAAAAAGTTGACAAAACAGTATGAATGTTTGCTGAATATGGGTGTCGTTTGAAAAATGTAGAAAAACAACATTTTCGACGGCAGAATCAATGAATCTTTCTTATTTTCCGCTTGAAATTTTCATTTCCATCAATGGCCGACATCTGTTCGTAGTAAATATGACGCAGAATATACCTAAAACTTCTGTTGAAGTACTCATTGCATCTCAAATTCCATTCTTATGACTATTTTTTCTTAAGTATAAAGCAAAAGCTTCGAAAATAATGTGATTGATATAAGAATAAGGATCTAAGATAATGCCTTCATAAAACTATATAAAGCTTTAAGAATATCCTGGCTAGTGCTCATTTGATAGTATGGCAAAAAGTAGAAGAACGTCATCAGCATGATCGACATAAAAACCCTACTTTTGCTAGTTACATAATTTGTGCAAAACCGTTGTCATTTTCCCCGCTTCCTAATTCTCATTCAGATATATCAGAAGTATTTTCCATTACGTTCTGACTTGTTGATGGTACTTCATGAACATCAAGTCCTAATGAATTCTCGCTGTTTGGTGGTTTCAGTTGGGATGAATTGAAAGACGCAGTGTTTGGAATTGCTTGGGCTTGAGAATTGCCATTAACTGTTGCTCTCACGACTTGATATTTAATTTTTTAGTAATTGCCTTTTTTTTTCGCTTGAACTTGCCATTTCCCTTGATTCTACACCATTTATCTCCTTGTGAGTTCATTTCAACGTGAGTCGTAGGCAAAAAAATACGGACATTCATATAATGGGATTTGGGTTCAACACAGTTCTAAAAAAAACTTGACAAATCCTTGAGATTTTATGATTGACTTCGATGAGTTCATCGTGGTTCGCCTATGGATGGTTCTGAACTCAAACCGAACAAAACCACAAATGATTCGAGCTTTCAGAAAACTATAATGCAGAGGTTCAATTCCTGACTCAATTTAGCTTTCCATTTGTAACAATCTCAGCATTAAAATGATCTTAGAGAATGCTTGTGGGCATGCGTTTCTTTATTTTCAGCACCTCCGCAGGATTCTTTCACATTATTCTGTATACCCAAAAATAAATTTGTGTGATGTATCAGTCTCTGGAAGCGCACGAAAAAACTGAAAATTGCTCCTTGGATTTAACATTCACTGTTTTGTTCATTTGCTGGATGTTTGTAGAAACAAACACTCAGGTTATTGGAGGCAAAAATAAGTACATAAATTATCGCAGAAGAATATAAAAATGCCTGGAAAAATTATGAATTTTATGCTGACAATGCTCAATTGTTTTGTTGAACCAGTTAACCAACTTCAGGAAGTATCTGACACACATTGTGATTTTCGCGATAAGGGATGACTTGTTGGAGCATTTCTCAATTCGATGCTTTCTTATTGATAACGTTGCTTCTAGCAACGGGCTACTATCGCGATAATTTTGTTCGGTCCTATTAACTTATTGGAATCAATAGATGACAACTATTCTATCTAAAATAAAACACTTTATATCTTTCATTGGCGAAGGCCACCCACTTCTATTTGAAACTTTGTAGACATGTTCTCTCAGATGTTATGGTTGAGTACGAATACGTTCATTTCTTGTTACAATGGTATACTCGAGTGATATGAGGAATGAATCATGCTATGCCATCTCTTATCGATTTTTCTTCCAGGCAGATCGCTTCACGGGGTGGTGGACGGAGTATCGTTCAGATACCATTGGCATCAATTCCGGCGTTCCACAAGGATCAATTTTGGCACCAACATTATTCCTTCTTCATACCAAGAATCTGTTGGGAGTAACAACTTGCCCCATCCACAGCTTTGCAGATGATAGTACCCTCTATACTGCATTCTCTTCCAGAATTATCATTTCTTCCCAGGAAACTAAGAACTCAGTATGCTCGACATTGTAATGTCTATAGCACCACCATCCTCACCAACCCCACCATATTTATGCTCGATGTTTCCATCAGCAACACTCTTTTATGGGATAATCAGGTCAGATCCATCGCAAAAGCTGCTTCACTATAATTCGGATTCTTGTTCCGTGCGAAATGCTACTTTACACTTCAAAGCGCAGATATGGCCTGTTCTAGAACACTGTTCCCACTTATGGGGTTCAGCACCAAAACATACGCTGATGCTCTTAGATTCCATCCAGAGAAGAGCCATTCGCCTGGTGGGTGACGTCACACTCACTCACTATTTGACATCATTGCAACACCGCAGAAAGATCGGTGACCTTTCACTTTTTTTATCGATACTACCACGGGAAATGTTCCTCGGAAATCTCTGCTATCATTCCTTCACTAGCAGTACCAGTCAGACGCACTAGACCCCAGTCCAGCACATCCTTTCGTTGTCAACCTCGGAAGATGTCGAACAGCACTTTATCAAAACTCCTTCATCCATAGAACGGCTAGGTTCTGGAATACATTGCCTGAGGAAGTAATCCCAACAACATATTATCTCCAGAAGGTCAAAAAAAATTCCAATACCTACCTCCTGTCCCTATCCTCCCTAGGAACGCACGATGTTCTTTGAACATTATAGGGATTTGCTTTCGTGCGCTCCAAGCGATAAAAAAAATTTAATAAAAGGTGGAATAAAAGATGCTGATTCAATTCTTGGAATTAATGTCGTCTCAGGTGAGGACGTATCGAAGTACTGAAATGCGGAATCGATGATATGTATATAGTCTATAAGTAACATTCCATATGAAACTATGTAGACATGTAATATCATATGTTATGCTCGGAAACGAATTGCTGTTCCTAATGTTCCTGAAATTTCAGTTATAAACCTTAGGTTAGGGGCCCGATGTGATGCAGTATGAGGTGATTACCACCCTCACCACTATCGTGAGAACCAGTAGCTGCTGTCAATGAACAGCATCAGGCTTTTGATTCCAACCGACTGAAGCTCGGATAGGTTGTCAAAATAGGACTGCACGCCTCAATCAATAAATAAAGAAATCAACTTCTATTGTGAAAATATAGTACGTCATATTTACCCAAACACATCGGAGCTATAGTTTCTTGAGTTTCATTTGAAGCTGTGTAGGCATGTTATATCAGATGTTATGCTTGAAAACGAATTAATGTTTTTAATTTTCCTCAAATTCAGTTTCAAGCCTCAGTTACTATCGAGTGAAATCTACTCTTACTGTAGAAATGAAGTGCGTCATATTTAACCGAGGGGTAAACAGCTTTGGATTTATGGTGTACACCAATATGGAATTCCATGGATTTCCATGGATTTCCATGGAATTCCATGGATTTCCATGGAATTCCATGGATTTCCATGGATTTCCGTGGATTTCCATGGATTTCCTCGGATTTCCGTGGATTTAAATGGATTTATATGGATTTATATAGATTTCCATGTACGATGCAGATGCAACAGCGCATGCGCAAACGCATGCGCAAACGCGTGCGCAAAGGTATGCGCGATGGCATTGTTAAACAACTGTTAGTAAACAACAGAACTCAAGTAGAGTGCAAGTGCATTTAGATCTCGATTTAGATGAATCCCTACTAATCGAATAACGAGAAATAACTGAGTAAGTATGTGGAAACGATTATAGAATAGAATACTATCTGTGGCAATGTTAGTGATAAGTATGTTCAAAAAATCATGATTGAAAATTGATGGAAAATATATTTCTATAGGCTTATTCGATTACCACTGAATTATATCACGTGAATTTTTCAGTTTTCTTCGTTTCCAAGTTTCAATTCTTGTATGACGTCCTGTCTGATGAACATTCAGTTGATTCATATTAATAGAAAATAATCTTTAGAGAACTGAGGAACAACTTGAGTACCCAACTCCATCATTATTTATAATTCTATGTCATATACGACTGATATCGAAAATATAGTGTCCCGACAATAGGGACGTTCTCTGAATTGAAGATATTATATTCTCGTGAAATTTAAAAAATTAAATTAAATATGTATATTTTATAGGTATACAGTATGTCTCAGAAAGTTGCCAACAAAGGGACAACTCATTCATTTCAAATTTTTTGAAAAAAAAGTCATTATTCATGAAAGTCCTGCAAGATGTAATACAATACCGAAGAAGCAGATATCAAATACCGAATTTATCTAGTCGTATACGAGGTATGTCGAAAGATATGTATTTGGTTCCAGATCAAAGTACATACCTACCTATATTTTCAAATTCTTCTCAATAAAAGTTGACTAGAATTGAAAACTATGTACAAATATCTGATCACATATATCTACGATGAAAATCAGGTCTGATCATTTTTTATCTCGCTTTTATAATTTCTTCAACAATTGATTGTTTTCGGAAACTTTTTGATTATCATTTCTACGAAAAATTACGTTTTTTAGTAAGATTGAAGATTAGGAAGTTTTTATTTTCGATCGATCATTCAAAAATTTCAAAGAATGATAATACCTGATTTTCATAGTAGATAGAAGTATTCAGATTATTGGAAATAATGTTCAATACTAGTCAACTTCCCCAAAAATGATTCTCTATTTAGTCGAAAATGAAGGTATTGCAGAATTGATATTTTTTTAAATGCTTCGTATACGACTGGAAAGATTTGATGTATGATATTTGCATTTCTGGTTCGAGGCCTCACAGAACTTTTGACAAGGAATGCCTTCAATTTGTTTTCAACTGTTCAACTTTTTCAGACATATCACTAGAAATCCAATGAAGATATGTATCACGTTAAACTGAGAAGTGATGATGATGAACCTCTTGCAAATTGCAAATTCGTAGAGCGTTTAATGCACAGAAATTGATTTATCATACTTGTATGGCTTTTTCATGTATTTTCTTCCTCCTAATTTTGATGAATAGCAGTGGCTCTAGTTTTTTTCCCGAGTTTCCTTTATCAATATCGATCAGGAAGTTGAGTTATCAATGAGCAATCTCCTTTAGATAATCTGTCCAATTTACACGAGATTTCTTTATTCAGAATGGACCACGAGGCAGACTTTGAATCGAGAGAGGACTGCTTCCGCGAAGTTGAAGAATCTCTCAAGATTTCTTTACCGATTTCCCTGAAGAATGTGTTGAGAATGAACGCATTCAACAATGCTGCCGTATTACGCGATATCACTGAGAAAGATTTTGAAGATATGGAGAAATTTATGGCATCTGAGACAACTCAAGAATTGATTCCAAAAAGCGAATATGAGCAATATTACGGCATTTTTGACACAAATCCTGAAAAATTCCAATTTTTGCTTGGTCATAAGAAGCTGCTGTTGTTAATTAGGAATTTCTTCAGAGAAAAACTCGAGAAACGCGATGCTAGATCTGAGATGGAACCTCAAACTGATAAACGGAGGACACTGAACAATCTACAATACACTTCAAATCCTACTTCATCTGCGAGCTCATCTGTGATTTTAGCTACAGACTTGACCAGCGAAAATAAACAAGTTGCCCAAACGGTGAGAAATTGGATCAAGGGCAAATGCACTTCTGATAAGCAATGGGAATACTTCAAAGACAAATTCTCACAGATGTCCTTCGAGATAAAACTAAATACGCGAAACGACTTGTGCTGTACCATGACGTGTTATTGTATGAGCAAATATAAAATTGTAAAGTCCGCTCAAAAAATGAGATATTCTGAGCGATGGGTTTATGGAAATTTTCATAAACATCTGATCAAACACTTCAATCAGTCAAATGAAGCAGTATCGATTGAAAATCCAGTCAAACACAACCGACCGGTAAATGAATTCACCAAAAATGAACAGGGAACGAAGAAACAGCACTCCAAACAGCCAGGAATAATGAATTATTTCACGATGTCAGGAGCAAGTCGTGTTACTACTCACATTAACACTGACTCCTCGAACCCCTCTTGCACTGAAGAATCAACTGCACGAAATGAATCCGACATCATTTCGGAATTAAACAATGAAGTGGTAGAAAGTAGAGATTCATTACTCCATGTTATGGACAGAGGATCATATGAAACTGTTGAGCAAGAAGCACATTCACCAAATATTGGACCAAAGATCAATATTTTGAGTAATCAAGTGATTACTGTTCAGGCAATGGTTCATTCCTGTGCTGATGGAAACCCTCCTCGTGAATTCCCTCAAAAAAATATGAATTCGATGACTGATTCCGAGTTGAATGCTGATGAAGAAAAGCCGATGGAAAATGGCAATAATAAGACGATGGGCAAATGGAGATCCGAAAAATATCAGAGAAAGGCGAGGACGAGAAGAAAGCTAGAAAGCAAAATTGTCAATCAGCCAGTTATAACTTCATTTTTACCACTACTTAGCACAGTGGAAAAAGAAGTAGAGAATATTGTCGATGTTACCCATGGAAACGACACTGAAACTATGCATGCTACGCTTGGGGGTAAGCTGAATGCTAGTATAGAAGCACTACCGCAGTTTGAGGGAAAGCCTTCAGCAAAGCATAGAAGCCAATTGTTGAAAATGTTAATCGACATTTCAATTCGAAATACAAGAAGTTCCAGCAGTCGCTATCATTACAATGACGTTGCTAAAAAATTTTCTCTGTACTTATTATACATCGGTGGAAGGCTGCTATATGAAACAATTTACGAAAATATGAAAGGCGTTTTACCATCGATAAGCACTTTGAACAACTATGTAGGTCAAATCAGTGAGAAGTCCGAAGAAGGAGTTTTCGATTATGATGGACTTTGCAAGTATCTGGAAGATAGAAATCTGCCAAAGGTTGTATGGATAAGTGAAGACGGGACCCGAGTTACTGGCAGAATCGAATATGACTCGAAAAGTAACAAGCTAGTTGGTTTCACCCTACCTTTGATTGATGGCTTACCCAAAACAAACACGTTCATTGCCACATCTGCAAAAGCAATTCAAGATTACTTTCTTTCAAGTTCTAAATCAAATTATGCCTATGTAGTGATGGCTCAGCCTCTGTCAAAATCTGCTCCACCATTTTGTCTCGTTATTTTCGGAACAGATAATAAGTTTGATTCAAACGATGTCACAAAAAGATGGGAACATATCAAAGAAAACCTAAGAAGACGTGGTATAACGGTATTAGGTTTCTCCAGTGATGGTGACACCCGGCTGTTGAAAACAATGCGTCAGCATGCTTCACTCCCACCACAAGTTGATGATAGTACATATATGTGGCAATGGTATCAAGCAGGATACAAAAAGGACGATCCTTCCTATGTACAAGATACTGTACATATTGCAACAAAACTACGCACAAGATTCCTCAATTCTAAGGTGACGTTAATAATTGGATCATTCACTGCGAAGCCTGAGCATTTGAAGCAGCTAATTGATAATTTCTCAAAAGATAAACATTTGTTGACAGCCTCAGATTTGAAAGCAGAAGACAAAATGTGCTTCAGATCTGCAGAAAAGATGAGCTCTGAATCAGTAATTCAATTGCTTAAAGATATTCCCGGAAGTGATGGTACACGGGCGTATCTCCGATTGATGCAGTATGCTATAGCATCTTTCATGGATCCTTCTTTAGATGTGAATGAACGGCTATACAAAATATGGTATTGTGTATTCTTCTTGCGTATTTGGCGCAAATGGATTGCAGATCAATCTTCTCTCAGGATAGCAAACAATTTCATTACCTCAAATTGTTATCTATGCATAGAGTTGAATGCTCATGCTCTCATCAATCTCTGCAATAATTTTCGTGAGAACCCAAATCTTACGAATGACATGTTCCTTCCTCACCTTTTTAGTAGTCAAACCTGTGAAAAGACATTCAGAGCGACGAGGTCCATGACAACGACAAATTCAACTGTGATTAACTTCAGTATCAAAGACATTATTCGAAGACTGGATAGAATCACAACTATTAATAATATTATGAATGATCTCCAAAATGTTTTGATCTTTCCCAGAGAAGAAAGGAAAGAAATGAGAGAGGCAAGCACCATGACTGACTTGAAAGTGTTATCAGATGATTCCATTCGGATTACAGTTGAACAAGCATTACATGATACGATACAGCTAACTCAAAGTTTGGGAATCCATGTCCCTGAAGATAGTTGGAATTATGTTGCAGCTGCATTTTCAACTCCTATCGTAGTAGAAGATGCTACAGAAAAAAACAGTGACTATGATTTAGCTATCATAGATGATAATGGCTTTGAGACTTTCAATATGTTGCCAATGGTGCAAAGTCCGGATGAGGAAAACTGTGACCTCTCTGATACCCTAGCGGATTCCCAATCCGGAATATACACTGATATGTGCAGTTTAAATGTGGCAGGGATTGGTCAAGAACTTTTATTGAAGGATTTCTCACTGAAACTATTGCCAGAAGAAAGAGATACCGTTTTTGAAAAGGGGCCACTAGTACGGGTAACGGTAGCAAACGGAAAGTCAACTATCATCAAAAAATCTTCATTATGCTGGCTGTTAGAAGAAACCATACAGAGAGTGAGTACTGATAGATTACGAAGATTTTTCACCAGCAATTCTAGTAACGGTTCGATTGCTCCAAGAAAGAGTTCATCAAATATTGAGACGATTAAGAAGAAACGACTGCGAATCAAGAGACCCAAAAAGAACACAAGCAAAAAATCAAATTCCGAATCTTCAGATGATGACGAATCGAGTGTTGAATACGATGATAGTACAGACACTGAGAATTTTTCTGATGAAACTGATGAAAATATGATTTCTTCTGATGAAATTCCTCCCGGTCAACTTACAGTTGATGAGACAAATAGCAACTTGGCAGATTCTATTCAACCGGAATGTGGAAAATTCTATGCTATTTATTACGAAGAACGATGGTATCTGGGCTCAATATCTAGAATCGTTGATAGTGAATATGTCGTGAAATTTCTAAGAAAAAAACGAGGGAGTGAAACAAAATTCTTGTGGAAGAAACCAGATGATATTTCCACAGTTTTGAGACAATACATTTTTTATGGACCAATAGAGGCCGATGAACACATTGAAGTCTTACAACTGAGTGATTTGCAGCTAGCTGAAATCAATCAAATTTATTCAAAAATGAAGAACAAATAAGCTTTCATGTCATTTTTTTATATCCATTTGTTGTTTGTTTTCTTCTGTCAAAATATTTTGTTAATTTTGTTTTCGTTCAAGGTTCAAGTTCTAGTTCGTTCAATCTTGCATAGGCGATACTCATTTTATGTGTGAAAGTTTGAATTAAACCTGCCTGATTGAAATTCCACAATATTTATTATCCTATCCAGATAACTGAAATAATCTTTTCTCGATGATTTGAACATACAAAATATTTGTGGATTTCCATATGGATTTCCATGGATTTCCATGGATTTCCATGGATTTCCATGGATTTCCATGGATTTCCATAGATTTCCATGGATTTCTATGGATATCTATGGATTTCTATGGATATCTATGGATTTCCATGGATGTTCGAATAGATTTCCATGGATTTCTGGATTTATTCCACAAAAATGGATTTCTGGTGTACACATTTTGGTCAGCTGTTTACCCCTCGTATTTAACTGTACTCGGAAATATGTTCTTTCAAGTTTTATTGGAATTTAAAACTATGAAGACATTGAATTCCAGATAACAAATTCATTTGATGTTTCCCACATTTTTCTAATAAAAACGAGTTATACCTAAGTGTCAAATTTTCTCATCATAATACAAGCAACTCCAATTCAATGAATTTGCTCACCAAATCTCCCACGCAGCAGAATTAACTTCCGTTAATTTTTTTCTCGGTATCATCAATGTTTTTGTTGATAGAAAATTATCTTGAGTAAGAGACTGCTGCTAGGAAGATTATAAGTGAGAGATCGGAACCATCATTTGGATGAAGTGAACCTTTGTTGAGATAGCTTCGAGTTTTTTTCTTATTGCTTCTTGAATTTTTCAGATTTGGCACACCTGAGGAAGTTTCCAATTTGGTAGCATTTTTAGCGTCAGAAGAATCGTCGTATATAACCGGTGAAAATATTGTCGTGAATGGAGGAATACATTCAAGACTATGAAGAAGAGAGTATTTATAAGGAATTTGTTACACAAACCAATGTTATTTATCAACAGTGTGAATGAGAATGTATATAGTTTATTCATCGAGGAAATACATATAGATATGAATCAAAGCAATAACATTAACCCAAACCTAAACCTGATAGGTACAATGTAGCCAGCTTGTATACGTGAGGAAATGTTACGAAGTACAATTATATTTCACAAGGTATCAATACGATAAGGATCAAAATGCGAAATTCTCCTGCGAGGTGCCAAAGATCACTATAGGCTGTCACCATGGGAAATACTCTCTGGAGTCGTCCGAAAGAAATCGCGGAGATCTCGCCTCGGATTTGATATATTCCTCATTATTGCGAATCCTTGAGGTTATCTATAACAGGAAATGAAAAGGCATTTCTTTCTGCGAGCACCCAAGGATATCCTGGACGTAACAAGATCGAACATTTCCCATTGCGAGCTCCTAAAGTAATCGTAAACATAACCTGAATGATTAATGAATATTTCTACAAAAATATTGAGTTGTTTTTTTCAATAGCCTTTATAATTCAAATACTTGTCAAGATATCAAAAGCAATAAAAAACTGCATTTAATGGCATTAAATAACCTTCCTAATGGCTTATGAAGAATGTGATATATTTGGCAGCCTCCGAATGGTAGATACTGATCAGTTTTCATTTTGAAGTAGCATATTGTCTCTGAAAATTGCGTGTCATTCTATTTGGATACAACGATATAGCACATACTTGGTGTTTTGTTCTTGATAACATTAAAAACATGAACATTTTGTGACTTTTTACGTTACTCAAATGAAAAATTGCATTCACCCATGTGTTCAAAAAGTTCACAGATAAGAAGGATGGATTGAGTTTTTGGTTTTAAGAAATTAATGACAGATATTCCATTTTGAACTGCAGGAAATCAATTATTGCAGACGGTACCTACCTAGTGTAATAATTAATCTAATTTTATTGTGGGACATTTTAACGATAATGGGAGGAGGCAATTGTCGATAGATGAAACGTAAAAGAGGTATGAAAAATGTATTGTTGATGTTGTTATTAATGAACAAAATACAAAGTACCGATGTGCTATCGTTCATTCCCAAAATAGGATGATAGGCAATTTTCAATGACAATATCCATTCAATAAAAATTGAGGAGTTGCTACCAGGGGGCTGTCCAATCTAATTCACTCATAAAGAAAGTTCTTTGATGTCATTTGAAGCATTTTTACTATTTTTTGGTCATCTTGTCGAGTAAGAGAGTTTTTGCCGGTACGTAAACGATAACGAGTCATTAATCTATGATAATAATTATTGTATACTAGATACTAGATTTTCTTACTGTCTCAACAGGTCATATTATTATCTCTCCGCCATCATGGAAGATTATTTCAAATTTTGCAGTAAATTAATGATAATTTATCATCTGCTCTGACGAAAGACAAAAATGTTCCAATTCAGGTGGGATCGAGAATCAAATATCTACCTCAAATTCGTGGGTAGATATCGGACGACCTCAATTTTTTTGTAAGAATACCCGGCCAACTCCTCGAATATGTTTTCAAGTGATAAAGTTTACTTGATCAATGTCTTGCTATAGAATAATATATAATTAAAGCTCATTACGTTGATCTAAAAGTTTGGTAACTCAATCTTTTTCGCTGAAACAAATATCCAGTGAATTTAACTTCACCCCAAACAATATAGCTGGCGCTAGTTAGACTTCGCCGACAGGAGACTGCTGATAACCAATGACTTCCCAAAAATTGAACACCATATTAGTCGCGATCATGTGGCGATTGATGCAAATATCGCTCTTAAAGGCCTCGTTATAAGGCGATGTGCACGGATTCTCGAACAATTCATAGTTGCGAGCACGAGCGAATTTCCCAGTCCTCTTCACAAGGCGATGCGTGCGAAAATCTCAAACAGCTCGTAGTCGCGAGCTCTTAAAGACCTCGCCAGAAGCAATTGATGCGAATCTCCCAATGTCCTCGTCACAAAGCAATGTATGCTAATTTCTCGAACAGCTCATGATTGCGAGAACTTTCAGTTGTCGCCAGTGGCGATTGAAGCGTATATCTCAAAGTGCGCGCCTGAGGGCATTGTATGAGAATTTCTGCGTGGGATATCTTTAAGACCTCGCTGAGCTCAGCCTAGGTTGCGGACATTTGGAGTAGATATAGAACTCCCGGCGATCTATCAAAGAAGTTACAAAAGGCATCACAATTTCCTAGAAGGATTTCTTAAAGATATCTTCAGGACCTCTTTGTGCTGGCTGGGTAGGGTTTACAAAGTGGTTATGTTTAATCTGGGAGTGCAGAGCGAAATCATTCTTTTATTCCTTTCATTATGACAAGTCGTTATTGATGAATAACTATTAGATTCGAGTGACATTTCAATTGTGCATCAAAAGGTGTTCTGGTTAATTATAACAGAGGTGGCTATGTCTTCATTGACAAGTCTATATTAATATTATATGAAGTGGAAAGATTTGTTTGTTTGTTTGTATGTATTGAATAGGCTCCGAAACTACTGGATTGATTTGGCTGAAAATTGGTGGGGAGGTAGCTTAAAACCAGGAGAAGGTTATAGGATACTTTTCATCTTGGTACCATCAGAGAAGTCAAGATGACAGATCCAATATATCGGACGAGTTTTGTGATCATGGTCCGATTCTATTCAAAATTGGTATCTGGGGGTTTTCGGGGTCAAAGATTATGATTTATTCGTCAAAATTGAGAAACTCAAGATGGCGGGTCCAAAATGGAGGATTTTGTAATAAGGATGCGATTTTATTCAAATTTCGTATCTGGTGGTTCTCGGGGTCGCAGATTAGGATTCTTTCGTCGAAATTAGACAACTCAAGATGGCGGACCCGATATGGCGGACGAGTATTGTCATTTTGATCCGACTCTCTTCGTAATTGTTATCTGGGTATTTTCGGGGTCAGAGATTATGATTCTTTCGTCAAAATTTGGAAAGGGCAGGATTTGGAAATTCCAGACGGTGAAACCAACATACCGGACGAGTTTTGTAATTATATACCGATTCTATCCAAAATTGGGCGTCTTCGGGATCAGGAATTTTGATTCCTTCGTCAAAATTAGGGAATTCAAGATGGTAGATCCAATATTGCGGACGAGTTTTGTGATTATGTTCCGATTCTATTCAACTTTTTCATCTGGGGTTTCAGGAGTCGAATATTATGATAGTTTCATCAGAATTGTGACATTCAAGTGAACTAAAAAGAAGTTGAAATAAATGTTCGTTCGAAAACCTGAAGAAACACGCTTTTACTGATAGCGAAACTAAAAAGAAGTGAAAAATTATATAATAATAGTGTATTGATGAATGTTGAACTGAACAAATATATTACAGAAATGATGTACATAGCAAAACAACGTTCGCGAGGTCTGCTAGTAGTTTATGAAATTTGAGATTACTGTTTGAATAGTTTAGTGGCCTAGTGGCCTGAAGCGCAGCTTACCAAGCGGCTGGTCCAGGTTCAATCCCAGGCGGGTCAATATTCTCTCTACTCATTTGTTATTCTTCTTACTTGTTTGTAGCAAGATGCGTATGTGGTAAAATATTGTGTGCATTTCGACCCCTTCGAGCAACATTGACAAATATATATTTTTGTCGACTCCTACAAAAAATCACATTTTACGTTTTAATTTCCGAACGTAAAACCGACTATTACCGAAGGCAAGTAGGTACTTTTCGTCCGCGGATACCAATTTCTCGTCCGCAAACACTTTTTGTCCGCTGAAGGTGTGCCAGTTCCGTTGAATTCTCAGTGGATTTCCTGATTGGCATATTGATCTACTGATCCGGTAGATCATTGCCTAAACTACTGAAGAATATTTTGACACTCATTTATCATTATAATTGACTATATCATTATTATTCCCCAGTAGATCACATACACTTCTGAATTGCATAATATTTTGGCACGCTCAGTTTGAATTAATATTACTGAATGAGTAATAAATTCACACAACGGTACTAATGATATGTATGAACCAAAAAAGGATGACTTCATCTGATTCAGATCAAATTGAATTTCTAGATTCTTCTGTGAAAATAGTCTGATTCCCACTCTCCATTCATTTTCCATTTTCACTATTCGTTCCTGTGTTTCATATAGTCAAATCTTATGAGCAGGATCTTAGGCAACTGTATTTTGTGATATTCGTGATTATTTTTATGACAATGTTTGTTTTTTTGTTCCAATTCCGTTGGAAATAGGTCATTTCTTCATTTAATAATGATAATAATAATAATAAATAGATGGCCTTTATTTTACGTGGCGGAATTTAGTATATAGCTATTCTTCCACTCAACCACGATATAGGCAAGAACAGTTATGCATGGCACTCATTATTATAGTATAGTTCACACAATAATATATCATCAAAACTAGAAATCAGGTGAAATCACTGCTTACTCAGGATTTATTTACTGTAGGTATACATAATGTTGCGACTACAAAGGTTTATTTTATTATCTTTTCTTGGAATTTATATTGCATAAAATAGATCCGAACTCTTGACAAGGTATTAACTGATGACACGAGAATCGAACTGGCAACCCTGGTCCGCGTGTAGAGTGAGTTGACAGCAACAGTCATTTGCTGTTGTCAAATCAATTATTCACGGCACCCGATAGATTCAAAGTGAAAATGGGACCGTTATGTGGATATAAATGTTCAAGGTCGACGAAAAAAGCTAATATACACCTCGACGAAAAACTGTCTATTGTCCCACCTGATTGCTAGCCCTGGCTAAGGCATTGACTATCAATTTGCAGACTCGACTATAAAAGACAACTCTCCTTCCTAGGTTCATGAATAACTATTTAGTCAATACATGGAGAACAACGGTGCTGTTATGAACTTGATGATCCGCTCCAAGATTAACTCCTGGGAATCCAGAATGAAACTTTACGAATCGATTGTATTATCATCATTGTCACATGGCATTGGGGTTTGGGGTCTGCGGTATGCTGATATAGTGGAACGAGCTCAGGTAGGATTTTTTGAACGTTCACTTTCTCTTTCAAGAAACACTCCTGATTATATCGTTCGCTTGGAAACATCATCCAC